CTGTATTTCACATTCCTCGACCCCAATCCTAAATGATTTTAAATTAATGAATTTATTTCGTTAACCAGATGAAACAGATCAGTGTAGCCTTCCCACCGAGTTAAACAACTTCACTCTTGGAATTCTTGGAAAAATCGTGCATTCTGATCATGGGAAGCTTGATGTTAATTTGGACTTTAATTCCATTTATCTGCCCCTGAAGAAAGTGGACTTTGGTTACTAATTTTCTACACTTCTGGCCATTAACAGATAAAACAATGCTATAAATCAGGAATAGCTTCAAAATGTTTAAGAAAGATGCCATAAATTTCTGGTGAAAGCTTGCAAAGAGCTTCTTTCTCGCCTTCCCTGTAATGCTGAGACTTTCAAAACGGTGAAAAATCTGTCACCTGTCATATGCCTTAGCCACACACGGCCAACATTGTCAGAACTTCTATTAGTTCAAGCTGACCAGTCTAAGCTTAGTGAAATGGAAAGTGTGCGTCATCTTCTGTTAACCATTTGACTGCGCCAACACTTGTGAGGACAAATTCCAACATCTAAATCGTCATTTTGGACCAAGACAATAACTGCCAAGAACTCTGCTGGAGAGCCTAATTGACCTCACTGAGATTACATAAAGAATACACAGCTAACCAATCAGTAACGCCCTGGTTGATTGATCATTTAAGAGAGTAACGTCTGGGAAAAGTAAACTGAGAAATTGAATGGGACTATAGCTTTTGACATCAATCTTGAGAATCTAAACATATCTTGAAGAAAAAGACACTTGTTGCTCATCATTTGACACCTGCACTCATGTCAGTGATATAATGTGAGTCTGCAACATGCAAGATTGAGGTTGTGGATGGAGATGGACAAGCTCTTCTTGATAGTCTTCACCTGTGAAGACGTGGTGGGACTCCACACTCACATATGATAATAAACGTGATAAATGGATAACTTACTAATATTTGCTCCATATAGCGTAATTTATCAGGTAAATTATGCTTCATGTAGCAAATATTTATGTTATCCAATTATCACGTTTTTTATTATATATTGCAGTGATAGCATTAATAGAATCATTCAGTGTTACTCTATGTACTAAAATATATTGCTCTGAATACTGTATGAGCGGATAAGCTCATACAGTAGCTTTAGGTAATGGCTTTAGGCAATGGCAACTAATAACTTTAGGTATTGTATATACTATCTCTATCTTTAAATCCAACATCATGTATGTAACTCAATGTATATACCTTTTCCTGAATAAAAATCTAAATGTAAATCTAAACCCAACTATTGGGCTACTTTTATCGCCTAATGCGCTAGTTGTAGCGGTGTAGTGCGCTAGTTGTAGCGGTATAGTGCGCTAGTTGTAGCGGTATAGTGCGCTAGTTGTAGCGGTATACAACATTTGCACATTTGCCAATGATACGAAAATCGGTAGGGAGATTAATTCGGAGGAGGACTCACTATCACTTCAAGTTGATCTAGATAGGGTTTTGAAATGGCAAAGGATTGGCAAATGTAGTTTAATGCTGATAAATGTAAAGTTCTGAGGCTAGGTAATGATGATAGAGTTACAAGATACGAGCTAGATGGTGTTGAGATTGCGAAGTCGGATTGCGTAAGGGATCTGGGAGTTATGATTAGTAAGAATTTAAAACAAAAGGATCAATGCATGAATGTTCGTAATAAGGCAAATCGGACACTTGGATTTATTAATCGCAGCGTTAGTAACAAGCTATATCTTGCTCTGGTTAGGCCCCATTTAGATTATGCAGTTCAGTTTTGGTCGCCGTATTATAGAATGGATATAAATTCACTTGAACGTGTCCAACATAGGATGACTAAGTTAATTCCCCAAATTAGAAATCTTTCATATGAAGAAAGATTAACAAAGCTTAAGTTGCATTCACTGGAACGGCGAAGAGTTAGGGGTGACATGATAGAGGTTTACAAGTGGATGAATGGACATAACAGGGGGGATATTAATAGGATATTAAAAGTATCAACACAAGACAGAACACGAAACAATGGGTATAAATTGGATAAGTTTAGATTTAGGAAAGATTTGGGTAAATACTGGTTCAGTAAAAGGGTTGTTGATTTCTGAAACCAATTGCCGCGTAACGTGGTGGAGATGGGGTCCCTCGATTGTTTCAAGCGCGGGTTGGACAAGTATATGAGTAGGATTGAAGGAACCCACGGGAAAATAATATTTTAGATTTAGTGTTAACTAACAGGGAAACGCAAATTAATGACATCGAAATAGGGAGTGAGCTAGGGAGCAGTGATCACAAAGAAATCAGATTTAGCATAGAATGGAATAGACCAGTAGGAGAAAATTCTGTTAAAGTGCCAGATTTTCGAAAAGCTGATTTTAATAGCCTAAGAAATTTTTTGGGTCAAATTGATTGGAATGGCTTGGGTATGGGGTGTGGGCCGGTCTTGGAGCGAGACATGAACCCAGCGATAGGTGACTTAGATGGGGATTTCGATGTGGATTCAATATATAACTTATTTAAGAATATTCTAAACAAAGCACAGGAACGTAGTATACCATACAAATTGAATAGATCGTATACTAATGACCCAAAGTGGATAACAAAGAATTTGAAGAACCTTATAGGTAAAAAGAGAGCTTGGTACAAAAGGATTAAAAATGGGGAGGTCACTTTAGAACAGGAATTCGTACAACTGGTTAGAAATGTTAAAAAAGAGATAAGGAAAGCAAAAAGAAACTATGAAGTTCGCATAGCAGGGCAAGCAAAGACAAATCCTAAAGGGTTTTTTCAGTTATATCGTACTAAGACTAGGGAAAGGATAGGTCCATTAAAAACTGAGACAGGTCAAATAACAGATAGTGATGAAGAGATGAGTAGTATTTTTAATAAATATTTTGTATCTGTATTTACTAAAGAGGAACTTAACAATATGCCTTCAGCCGAACAAGTCTATGTGGGTGGGGACGAGGACAGGTTGACGAGTTTAGCAGTTACCAGGGAGGATGTTCTTAAACAAATAGTAAAACTCAAACCAAACAAATCCCCAGGGCCGGATGAAGTGTTTGCTAGGGTGCTTAAAGAATGCAAAGAGGAGCTTTGTGACCCACTGTCAACCATATTTAATAAATCAATAGAGTCAGGCAGAGTGCCAGAGTTTTGGAAAGTTGCTAATGTGATACCAGTTTTTAAGAAAGGAGATAGATCACTTGCGTCTAACTATCGACCAATTAGCCTAACGTCTATTGTGGGAAAGTTACTCGAATCTATAATAGCAAATAAAATTCGTCTTCATCTTGAAAAACATAAATTAATAATTGAGTCGCAACATGGTTTTATAAATGGCCGTTCATGTTTAACAAATTTGTTATCTTTTTATTCTAGCATTGTTGAGGCAGTTGATAGTGGTAAGGATTGCGATGTTGTATACCTTGACTTTAGCAAAGCTTTTGATACAGTGCCACATGAAAGACTGATTAAAAAAATAGAGTCTCATGGTATTGGGGGTGCTATATTAAGCTGGATTAGGGCATGGCTATACCAAAGGAAACAGAGAGTTAGTATAAATGGAATCAAGTCAGAGTGGGAAAATGTTGTAAGTGGAGTGCCTCAAGGCTCTGTCCTGGGACCTCTGTTGTTTATAATATATATAAATGATTTAGATTCAGGTTTGAGTAGCAACATTTGCAAATTTGCCGATGATACGAAAATCGGTAGGGAAATTAATTCGGAGGAGGACTCACTATCACTTCAAGTTGATCTAGATAGGGTTTTGAAATGGTCAAAGGATTGGCAGATGCAGTTTAATGCTGATAAATGTAAAGTTCTGAGGTTAGGTAATGATGATAGAGTTACAAGATACGAGCTAGATGGTGTTGTGATTGCGAAGTCGGATTGCGAAAGGGATCTGGGAGTTATGATTAGTAAGAATTTAAAACAAAAGGATCAATGCATAAATGTTCGTAATAAGGCAAATCGGACACTTGGATTTATTAATCGCAGCGTTAGTAACAAGACACCTGGTGTGGTTCTCAAGCTATATCTTGCTCTAGTTAGGCCCCATTTAGATTATGCAGTTCAGTTTTGGTCGCCATATTATAGAATGGATATAAATTCACTTGAACGTGTCCAGCGTAGGATGACTAAGTTAATTCCCCAAATTAGAAATCTTTCATATGAAGAAAGATTAACAAAGCTTAAGTTGCATTCACTGGAAAGGCGAAGAGTTAGGGGTGACATGATAGAGGTTTACAAGTGGATGAATGGACAAAACCGGGGGGATATTAATAGGGTATTAAAAGTATCAACACAGGACAGAACACGAAACAATGGATATAAATTGGATAAGTTTAGATTTAGGAAAGACTTGGGTAAATACTGGTTCAGTAACAGGGTTGTTGATTTGTGGAACCAATTGCCGCGTAACATTGTGGAGGTGGGGTCCCTCGATTGTTTCAAGCACGGGTTGGACAAGTATATGAGTGGGATTGGGTGGTTATAGAATAGGAGCTGCCTCGTATGGGCCAATAGGCCTTCTGCAGTTACCTTTGTTCTTATGTTCTTATGTTCTTATTGGGTGGTTATAGATAGGAGCTGCCTCGTATGGGCCAATAGGCCTTCTGCAGTTACCTTTGTTCTTATGTATAGTGCGCTAGTTGTAGCGGTATAGTGCGCTAGTTGTAGCGGTATAGTGCGCTAGTTGTAGCGGTATAGTGCGCTAGTTGTAGCGGTATAGTGCGCTAGTTGTAGCGGTATAGTGCGCTAGTTGTAGCGGCATAGTGCGCTAGTTGTAGCGGTATACTGCGCTAGTTGTAGCGCTATAGTGCGCTAGTTGTAGCGGTATAGTGCGCTAGTTGTAGCGGTATAGTGCGCTAGTTGTAGCGGTATAGTGCGCTAGTTGTAGCGGTATAGTGTGCTAGTTGTAGCGTGTGAGAGGTGGCAGCGTGGCGCTAGTTGTAGCGTGTGAGAGGTGGCAGCGTGGCGCTACTTGTAGCGTGTGAGAGGTGGCAGCGTGGCGGGGCTGGCGGCGAGGGTGGCCGGCCTGGGCGGCGTCTCTCTCAGGCCAGACCTTATGCTGGTGAGCTTGGTGTCCGTGCTCTCACTCGTGGCCAGGCACCTCACACCCCTCTACATCATGGTCCGGGAGCGCACCTTCATCGCCGTGAAGCCCGACGGCGTCCAGCGGGGGCTGGTGGGCGAGATCATCAAGAGGTTCGAGAGTAAGGGCTTCAAGCTGGCCGGCATGAAGTTCATGCAGGTAATGTGTCTTATGGCGGTGGTCTGGCCGGCTGTGGCTCTCTCTCTTCCTCCCAGCAGCCGCCCTCACCACGCTCCCACCACCCGCCTTTATGGTGGATATGTTGGTGACGAGGTGGACTATGTGTGTGTGTGTGTGATGGTTGAGGCGGAGGTCACACTTGGCTCACAAGCTGACGTTATAACATTGTAATATTTCTTTGGTCAAGCGTGGTGTAGGGCTGGACACTGAGTGTGGTGCTGGAGGCCAACACTGCCAGGTTGTGTGATGTAGAGTGTGGTGGGGGGACGGGACACCACGTAGCTGCCTGTGATTACACTTGGGGGTAACTACTTGAGTGATGGTGGGAATGAGAGCCACGTGGTGTAGTGGGCCCTACCCGGCTGGTGGGCCCCACCCGTTTCCTAGTACACTTAGGCACACTATTTATATTAACACTTGAGCACACCCGGCATGAACTACGGGGTCACCATAGCCCGTGCTACTTGGAACTTTTTGTTCCAGGCAGTGAACAGCCGCCGCCGCCATGCGCGCCGCAGATAAAGGTCATGACCCCGGCGGCCGGCACACCAAGATGTGTGTACTGGTTTCAGTTTTCTCACCTTAATTCTCGTGCTACGTCGTTCGTTTAGGTATCATTGTGTTCGCAATAGAATTCCCTACAAGGGTATATACATATAAGGTCTAAAAGCCCGGCGTGACTCCCCACAGCAAAGCCTAAAGTCTGCCAAGTTACCCGTGAACGAGCACCAATTGGCACACCAACGGACTAATGTATAGACTCGTTCAGTTTGATAACCATCATATTTTAGTGTTACGTCTTTCATTTTGGTATCAAATTGTTCACAATATAAAGGTGCGTATTTTAAAACTAGGCCCATTATAGAGCAATAACTGGAATTTTAACATTTTAAGTTCGGATGCTCATCACGATTATTTTTCCAGTGTTCTGACATACATCTTCGTGTTAAATCTTTCATTTTGCTATCAAATTGTTTGCAATTAAAAGGTGCGCATTTTAAAACTTCCCATAATATCATAAATAGAATTAACATTTTAAAATTTGGCCAAAAAGCATATTTATAATCTCGGTGTTTTGACATAGTTTCATGTTACATCTTTCATTATGGTATCAAATTGTGCGCAATTTAAAGGCGCTCATTTTGAAACTCTCCTAAAGCCGACCTGATAAAAGAATTTTATACAAATTTTTTTTACTCGTTTTAGTCAAATTCTTTCTTAAGAAAAATTGATGCCCCATTTAAGCGCCACGAGAGTGTGAAAGTGTTAAGTATAATTTACAGATGGATTTGAATCCCGTGTCCAGTGGGAACTCGCTAGTGGGGGTCCCCTTTGGCACACAGCTGCCTGGGGCCCCTACACTAGCCTTCGGCTGTGCAACACCATATGAAGTCTCGCATTGAGCTCGGGTTTTTAAAATCTTCTGAAACTTTCAAATGTTTTGTGCATAATCTACTAGGCAAATGCTCCAACTTTGTCTAAATGATGCCGATGTAACTTGGAAAAACAACAAATTAAAAAATTATAAAATTTAATATTGAAAAACTTAAGGTTTTGAAATTGCTTCAAAAAATATAAAATCACTATTTGGTGTTATGCTTTCAGAATAGCATAAGATTTTCATTTTCATATATTTAGAATACAGAGCACCACTTGGTTTCCGAACCCCTTGGGGACGAGACCCGTCGGTTAACATGTAAGTTCGTATACGAGAAATAGAGGGGAAAAATAAACTTGAAATGTAAAAAGAAATTTTTCCGAAAAATTTATGAAAAAACTCTAGGGGAAAAAATCGTCAGGTTCATGACGTAAATGCGACCGTGTTTTGTTTGTACTCGTCAATAAGTGAAGTCCTGATCCGCTTTATAAAAGTCCTTAATTGTTCCTAACTGATTATTAAGACGTCTGGCAAACATCCTCTGGATGTTTCCTGCCAGCCTGCAGGCACATCCTGCCTAAAATATACGATGATGTACTGTACATTTAAGAAACAAATCTGGGTCACAGGTCTGTGGAGTGTGGTTAGGCTTACGGAGTCAGCCGGTCCCTCCCCCACCACCAACACACCTCCCCCTCTCCCCCCACCACCGACACACCTCCCCCTCTCCCCCCACCACCGACACACCTCCCCCTCTCCCCCACCACCGACACACCACCCCCACCCCAAACCCATACACACACACACTCTCAAAGGTCACGTGGTTCACAGTTCACTTCAACACCCATATATCGCTTCCTGCCTGCCTGCCTCCTTCCCACCCTGCCTCCTTCCCAGCCTGCCTCCTTCCCAGCCTGCCTGCCTGCCTGCCTCCTTCCCAGCCTGCCAGCCTGCCTCCTTCCCAGCCTGCCAGCCTGCCTCCTTCCCAGCCTGCCAGCCTGCCTCCTTCCCAGCCTGCCAGCCTGCCTCCTTCCCAGCCTGCCAGCCTGCCTCCCTCCCAGCCTGCCAGCCTGCCTCCTTCCCAGCCTGCCAGCCTGCCTCCTTCCCAGCCTGCCTCCTTCCCAGCCTGCCAGCCTGCTTCCTTCCCAGCCTGCCTCCTTCCCAGCCTGCCAGCCTGCTTCCTTCCCAGCCTGCCAGCCTGCCTCCTTCCCAGCCTGCCTCCTTCCCAGCCTGCCTCCTTCCCAGCCTGCCTCCTTCCCAGCCTGCCAGCCTGCCTGCCAGCCTGCTTCCTTCCCAGCCTGCCTGCCTGCCTCCTTCCCAGCCTGCCTCCTTCCCAGCCTGCCTCCTTCCCAGCCTGCCTCCTTCCCAGCCTGCCTCCTTCCCAGCCTGCCTCCTTCCCAGCCTGCCTCCTTCCCAGCCTGCCAGCCAGCCTGCCAGCCAGCCAGCCAGCCAGCCAGCCAGCCAGCCAGCCAGCCAGCCAGCCAGCCAGCCAGCCAGCCAGCCTGCCTGCCTGCCTGCCTGCCTGCTTCCTTTCCAGCCAGCCTGCCTCCCCCCCTGCCATCATGCTAACGGGTAGTGTGTGTTAGGCTTATCTTCGGGAATGAGCCGGTCTCACCCCCACCACCAACAAACCACCCGGCCCCCTACATCCCATCTCTCAAGGTCACGCGGTTCAACCGCGTGACTACCACTCACTCCCTGCCTGCAAGCTAGCCTGCCTGCCTGCCTGCCTGCCTGTGCCTGCCTGCCTGTGCCTGCCAGCCTGCCTTTCCCTCCCTAATTCTCACTACTTCCATCCCTTCCTGCCTACCTCCTAGCATCTCTCCCTACCTCCCCCTCCCTCTTAGCATCTCTCCCTACCTCCTAACATCTCTCCCTACCTCCCCCTCCCTCCTAGCATCTCTCTCCCCCCCTCTCTCACTGATTCTCCCCCCCCCCTCATTCATACTGCCTCCCACCTAAGTTCCATCGTCCATCCACCCACCGGTCAGCCATCACTGACGCAATGGGTGCATTTGGAGCCAACATGGTGCACAGATGTTTCTTGATTGTGCAGATATGTAAAACAAAAGCACAGAATGAACATTCCAGCCTTATGGCAATTCAAAATAATAGGAATAATAGGCCGTGAATCTGTGAAGTCACAGTGGGCAAACTGGACCATCGCCCACCCACCACCACAAGCCGGCGTGACGCTTGGTGGACCCCTTCCTACCCGAACTTTGTTCGGGTAGCATGACTCCCCAACCCCAATCGGGAAACTGGAAGTTTCGGATAACTAAAGTTCGGAAACCAAGTGGTGCTCTGTATAGGTTTTCAGTAAAGTTTACTGTTAAAAAAAATAACATTTGAAATGTGTGCAAATTTTAACAATTTATAACTCCAAACTTTAGGGCTTATGAAAAATCAATTCTATAGGGATTGTAGAACAGACAGCTGTGCACGCTATATGTAAAAATGGCGAGAATCTGTTAGAAACTAGATTTTTGGATACTGAAGTTGAAATTCTAGTTGGATATAATTGAAGTTGAAGTTATCGACAATAAGGCAGTTCATAAGAACAAGGGTAACTGTAGAAGGCCTATTAGCCCATACGAGGCAGCTCCTATCTATAACCACCCAATCCCACTCATATACATGTCCAACCCGCGCTTGAAACAATGTTCTAATTCAGTTCTAATTCATGAATTTACTTGTATGTTTTAATAAACATTGTTTGGACTTCGTACTTGAATATGTGAAAGTTGCAGGTCACTGTTGACATGCCGTCAAGAAAGAATAACCCACCAAAAAACAAATACAGTACAAGTATAAGGATAATTATAATCTAGGGGATATATTTAGGGTATATTTTATATGTGGAAAAAACCCTAAACTGGTCCCTAATCATCAAAACACCCTAGAGACAAAGAAGAAAATACTTTGAGATCTGAAAAATCAACCCAAAAAATTCCGTCCCAAGGTCTGAGAGTTGACCGATTTATTTGTTGACCCATTTCATCTATCTTCACAGTTAGGAACGGGTATGCACTCTTCAGGATGTAGAGGTTACAACAGAATCATATAATAAAGAAAATTAAAAAAAAATTCTAAAATTTTGGACATTGAAAGATTTTAACATTGGGCAATATGTTTATGATAGTTTAACAAAATAAGAACATAATAACTTGCCTATTTGTATTACTCAGCAATGCTATAAAGGCACCAGCTGCATATTTATGGACACTATTTACTACTATTCTTTGTGCATCGGACTAGTGCTTGCATCTCTTATTACTGCATTATCCCTCGGTTCCAGTTAGTAGCTGTTCTTAAAACTTTCTTAAAAAAAATGTCCAAAAATATTTTCAGAAATTGATTTAAATGAGTTTCACGACCCTGAAGCTAATAAGGTGGAGATTTAAAATTCAGTAATTTTTACATAATTCAAATATTTTTTGCTTCACCCCTAATGATGTGCAGTTTAAGCCACAATTTAACCCTAGTCATTTGTTCACTGTTCTTTGGACCCGTGACATGATATAATAGTTCAAAAATAAAAAAGCACAAAGAATGAAATTATTTACAAAGAATTAAAGCGTGATTGTCACTAAGCGTGCGGCTCTGGTAAACTGAGGTGAGGTCACTAATGCCACCAGGAACCATGCACTCGGTCGACCCATACGTGTATCTACAAAGTCGCAAGTAGAGGCAAAGGTCATGTAGTCAAATTTTCAGACAAAATTAGGGTCGTAACCCAAAAATTCCGTAAGTCGAGGTTTCACTATTTATAGGAGTTTCAGTTGGTTTATCTAGTTTTTCCAGTAATATTATTAAATAGTGAATAATTTCAGGAATTTGTAATAGTTAACACTTTCGCGCTTTAGATTAGAGATAACTCGTCGCTGTTTTTTCTTAAGATTCCGCATAACAGCCTACTTTTCTCGTCCATCGAAAAAATATTTCTATAAATTCCATTTTTTTACCGAAATGGATAGGGATACTTTTGTTTTGTAGAGAATTTATTTGGAATTTTTTGGTACCAGAATGAATATTATATCACAAACTTCTATGAGTAAAAAAAAAAATACACAAAGTATGTTTGGGGGTGTGGCGAGCGTGTGGCAGTGGGTTCCCTTTAGCCGTTGATATATCCAACACGTGGGAAATATTTGTATGTGTTATGTATATGTCTGTGTAGGGAATTTTACTGCGATCACTGTCATACAAATTATAAAATGTTTAAAGTATAAACATGACAAACATCAAACGAACGAAAACAATGCGTTCGTTTCTGCCGCGAACGCATACTGAGCGACGTGGTTCTATATTTGGCGCTTCTCTTACACATGATTTGTACAAATGTTATACAGTTCATCTTATAGAAAATTTTATTGCGAACACATTGGTATAAAAAAGAAATACGTACATAGAAAAGTAGGGTCAGGAAACGTATAAACTTTCCAAGCATGATTTCCCCCCTGTGTTTTCGCCAGTGCGCTCGCGGCTAACTACTCTCCACTTCACACACTCTTGCGGGTGGGCAATTACCTATATTAAACATTCATATGCATATGTCCGTGTAGAGAATTTTATTGCGATTCCAATGATACCAAAATTAGCGATGTAGGACAACTGTAGGCTTCGCAACCATTAAGAGAGTGGAAACATTTTGTTGCTGTTTGGCGCTCTCGGCGAGTGATCTGCATAGTTTTTTATTTGGTGTTGATACTCCTTATGCTTGGGCGGCATTTTATAGGTATGCTCTTATAGACAATTTCATTGCGAACACAGTGATACCAAATTTAAATACGTGCGCCTTCAATTATTGTCAGGACAGTCAAAAGAGTGTACACTTTTTCGGTCTTACCGCGTAGGCGCGCGAAGTGCCGAAAGCATCTGGGGTATTGTTTTTTTTTTTTTTTGAGCGCCGAGAGCGCGAAAGTGTTAAATGAGTGGAACATCGCTATGCTCGAAATCATGGTGCTTGTATATTGACCTTTATTTTATATTCTTAGATCAAAAGGTGTTTTTGATATTACACTATACCTGGACAAACTGAAGGAATGGTCCAACAAATGGCTATTAGAGTTCAACTCATGTAAATGCAAAGTTAATGGTGTAGGGAGCAGGAGACCAGATTCAAGGTATCATTTGGAAGAATCTGAATCTAGGAGACTCCCAGGCCTTTCTCCCCCAGACACTAAGGGAGTTATCATGCCAGACCCGTCTTCTGAAGCCCACAGCCAAGAGCATATCGGCAGCATATGCCAGGTTGGCCAACATAAGAGCTGCCTTTAGAAACTTTAGTAAGGAATCATTTAGGATGTGGCATACAGGTCAGACTGATCCTGGATCATGAAGCTTCAGTGTGGAACCCAATTCTAACACATTAAATTTGAGATGATTTATAGTTTTATGTATTTTGTCTGCCCAATAAACTTCCCGAGGGGTGAGTTTATTGGGCAGCGCCACTCATTGCTGGAAGATAAGTTAGGGGAGACATTGGTGACCACATACAAGGTTCTCGGGAAATTAGTGTAGTTTATTTAACAAGAGTGGTACATGCACAAGGGGACACTGGTAGAAATTGAGTAGTACTCAAATGAGCCGTAGACACGGAAGGAACTTTTTTTGGTGCAAATAGTAGTTAACACATGGAATGCATTAGGCAGTGATGTATGTGGTGGAAGCCGACTCCATACAGTTTTAAATGTAAATATGATACAACCCGGTAGGCTTGGGAATCTGTACACCAGTCGATTGACATTTGAGAGGCGGAACCAGAGCCAAAACTCGACCCCTGCAAGCACAACTAGGCGAGTACATTTTGTGTAACGACGGTATCTATTTTTGTGCACCAAAACAAACCACTGAGATGGTCTGTTGAAGTTAATATTCACAATAACAGATCCAAGGTCAGCCTAGCGACTCGCTGCTAAATGTGGCGGGGTCTGTCCCAAATAGATTTTTTTTTCATTATTCCATTACTTTCACTTTTGTATCATATCTAATTTTTTGCGGTAATATTCAAGTGTATAATTTGTGGAATTGATATACTGTAGTTGAAATGTGTGGAACATTGATTTGTTCACAAATATTCTGCTCATATTTAGTAACATATATTCTTAGATCAATGAAACATTACTTTTGCTGTTATTACACTATATACACAAGTTATATGTATCTAGTATTTTTATATAGTGTAATTAACCTCTTCAGTAATTCTAGTGTGGTAATGAAATGTTGGCACAGTATAGAGGTACTGTACACGCTACGACCAGCCGACTCCAGTGACCAATGTCACCTGATGCAGCAAAATGCCCAGAAATATACTATGTTGCTCTGTTCAACAATATCATCAGATTCATGTCAGTCATGAATAATTATTTTCTAAGGGAACATTAGGTCACTGCATGATGCATATTCCCAAATGTGTGCTGTGAATGTCTGCCTTCTGCTGTGAACACCATAATTAACACTTAGAGTTCACTGATATCTGAACCTTTTGCATAATTTTTATTAGTCATGACCATCTATGACACTATCAACACAAAATAATTACTTATGGTCATTATTAAGTGGTGCTGTGGCCTGGACAAGCTGCATGTGCCATCCTTAGTTGCTCTGGCAGTACTGAGGCTCTCCACCAGGAGGAATGTGGATTTTTTTCAAGATGGCATAAGTTTACTGGTGTCCTGAGGAACGGGATGTGAGCCCCGTGTACCCACGGGAGTTTTGAATCTTACGCTATACTAACAAACATGTAGGGTGACACACCCACATTCCCTATATCACAGGTAGTACAGTAGTTAAGGATTTAAATAAAATGAGGTAAGCAAGCTGTATTTGATGTATGGCATTCATCGGCCATATTTCTGAAAGTTCAGTAATTTGGTTTTTAAAATTCTGATGCCTAAATAAAAACTTCTCTTTGCAACCCAAGTCTACTTCTAAAACTAGGCGTGGTACAGTGAGAAGTTACATTTAATATTACTACTTTATAAAAGGGCTTCCTGTAAATTGTTCCTTGACACACCTTGACATTATATTATTTTTTAACAGGCGAGTGAAGATCACCTTAAGAAACACTATGCTGATCTAGCTGATAAGCCTTTTTATCCAGGCTTGTGTAAGTACATGTCGTCTGGCCCACTAGTAGCCATGTGCTGGGAAGGTACTGGTATAGTAAAGACAGCTCGCACCATGATGGGAGAGACCCGCCCAGCAGACTCCAAGCCTGGTACCATCCGTGGCGACTTCTGCATTGAAGTTGGCAGGTAAAATTCCTCTCATTTATATATTATTTTAATGACATTGAGTTTTGGTATTTGTCAGTCTTAGATTTTTTATATTTTTTTTTTTTTTTTTATATTATTTTCTACCACAGACGTGGCCACACATTTACAATGCTAACCAGCATATATACATTTTCTTCTGTCCTCCATGGACAGGGTTAGAGAAATGTTAAACATAGAGTTCAGGGGTTTATTGAACACAACCACAGAAGGTGATTCGGTGCTTTTAAAATGCTAAGCTAACCTACATACGTAAATACATAGATATACAGATTTACGTATGCCCTACATAAAGTGTTTGATGTGTCTTTTACATAGTGTCATTAATGTACATTCACAAAGGTGAAATGTAATTCTGATCAGCTTCCATATATACTTTATACCCATACATATACATACATATACACACACATGCATTCACATACATCTGTCTCATTTACTCTGACAGGGTGAGATAGCTGATAAAGAAACTAGTGTGCAATTAAGCACTTAATCACTGAAGGTGATGAAGGTGCTTTTACAAGCTCAGGTTATATAGTTACATCATATAACATTGAATAAATGATATATTGAATATAACATTGAATAAGTGATATATTACATGGTCAATCTTGGATACAAGTCCAATATATCAAGTGTTCCGGTACTCATATAGTAACTACAGAGTTCAGCATACCTTAGCCCAGGAGGGCGAAAGTCAGTCAGTATGGGACATTCTACAATATAATGTTCAAGAGAGTGCATGTTTTCTCTTTCACAAAGTTGACACATTGTGTACTCGACATTTGGGTTTTGAGAAAGCTGCCAGATACGTCTATATCCCAGGCGTATTCTGGCCACTATAACATCACATTGCCGGGTTCTTGTTCTATTAGTCCCATATGTGAATGTCTCCTCACGATATCTATCATAATATTTAATGCTACAACTTTCAGGTCTTTGTGAATTTGTTAGGTCGGTGAGATTTTCATTAGATATTTGTTTAAGTATTCTCTTTGTCACTGCTAATGAAACACCCATATCAATTTCTACCACTGGTTTTCTGCAGGCTGTCTTAGCAAGCATATCAACAGTGTCATGCCTTGAGATGCCAACATGTGATGGTATCCATAGGAATTTAATCTCAAATCTGTTTTCTTTAGCAGCTAAAACATTCATTTGAATATCACTGACTATTTTCTGGGTGTCACTACTATGTGCATTCAGTGCCAGGAGTGCACTCTGCGAGTCACAGCATATAAGTCCACTGCCTTTGTCTTTTAAAAATTCAGTGGCAAGGTATACCTGCAAGTTCGGTTTGAGTTGTACTTGCCCAGTCATTGACGCGCTTCAATGCTGTTTGTACGAGATTGTTCAAATATGTTACATGCACATCCGGTACATCGTCCACCTTCTTCTACAGAGCCGTGGTAAGCACTGATAAACATCACTGAAATTACTCAGAGTATGGGTAACGATTTTTGGTCACAAAGTGGATGATACACACCAAGACTTCAATTGTTTTAGGATGGACTGAATTATGAAGTTGAAATTAATATTAAAACATTTTTGGCTATGCACTTAAAATTGGTGAAAGTTTTACATTGTTTTCTGACGAGGAATAAATAAATTTGCTAGATTTTGGTGTGGTTTGTTGATTGATGCCTAGCTGTTGAGTCCAGGGGTGCATCACTAGTCTGGTGGTACCTGCAGGTCACTGGTACAGCCTCGGTGGATGGTTTAGTGTTTCCTTGGTCCTGTTCCAAGAATTTATTACTAGGTTGTCTGCTGTCATCAAATTTGCCCAGTCGGCAGTCTCATGATATGCTCTATGCTGCATTGGTTGCAGTCTTCTCTAAGTATCCCAATCATCAGTCCTGGATTGATATTAGGTTTGGGGGTTTTGACACTAGCAGGATTCTGGTGACCTGGTATTTGGTTCATATCCCTGGTCCCAGTTGGTCTTGTACTCGCTAGTTATACTTGCAGAGGTTGAGCTCAGGCTCTTTGGTCCCATCGTGCAACTGTCAGTCAACTGGTATACAGGTTCCTGAGCCTATTGGGCTCTGCATTTTATTGATCTAAATAGCACAATACCTCGCTTTATGGTTTGAAGTGAAAATCATCGAATTTGGTTAATATATTGAAGTTTTTATCATGTCTACACTTGAGGGTGCTAACCATAGTTTCATCACTGCCCCTTGTGGATTTGTTCATGAGTATGGTTAGGTTTGGTTTTGCTATGGGATGTCTTCCCCCAGCCTAGATTCTCTTCATCCTAGTGTGTTGTGCCTCTCCTCATCTGTGGCAAGTCTCTTTTTTCTGTGGCGAGTTAGCTTCAAGGAGCCACTGGGGGTTCATCTAGAAACCCAGCATTGAGTGTAATGAAATGCCTCTGGATGAGCTGCAGTGGCTCACATCATACCAGGTTACTTGGTTTATTGGTGTTCTGTTTTTTAGCTCCAGAATTGGCAAGGAGGAAAGCTGCATATGGAAGCTGGGCTCCTTGGTTGTGGCACTCGGTGCTATGAATTTTTTGCTAATTTTGAATATTTTCTAGTTTTGTGCGAGTTGTTTGGCATTTTCGAGGATTGTCTTGATTCTCCAGTTGTTTAAAATTTCAATGACTTTCTGGATGCTTTCGTGGTGTGGTGGTGAATTATCACTTGGTGCTTGTTCCTCTGTGATGGCAGCGGGGAGATGGGGATGGTGGGCTAATAAAGTTGTTCAGTGTAGTCCAAAATTGAGCTTCAAATGATGGAATTCAAGCCTAGCATTGAATGTAATAAAATGCCTCTTCTGGTAGATCATTTAATGGCTCCTGGACCATCTTTTTCCCCTTCCTGGTTTGTATGTATTTTTTCTTTCCATCTGATTAGACCGACAATATGGTGGCCAGCAGCTGTGGTTGGCCAACTGGTGGTGGTCAACCCGTCCTGCTAATACTCACATTTTGATGCACACTTTACCAAAGGCCAAAAGCCATTGTACTAGAAAATGATGGCAGCTTACAAAATTGACTCATGTTTTGGGTCCTCTGATAGGTTAGGATAAAGGCACTTTACTGCGACAGTTTCTTGATGTTGGGAAACCTAAGGAGGACGGGCTGAGTGCTCAGCTGGAACTAGAAAGAACAGGTTGCCTGCTGGAGTGCTTGTATAGTTTTGATTTACACTTGTTCTATACTACATTTTATTTTGGGAAAATTCTCTCCCACACCCCCTCCCTCTTTTATTAAATTTGTATTTTACCTTGCTGTTGTCCATTTTTGTTTGTCCTGCCTGTCTGGTGCTCTATTCTTTTGGTTAGTAATCTTGAATCTTCTGCTCGTTGTGAGGTATCCAGGATGTAGCAACAGTCGCCAGTGACGCTCTCCCAGAAAAACCTTTGCTTTGAACGCTTCATTTTCCACAAGTGATAGAAATGTTGACTTTGTTTAGTTTGTCTGACTTTCAGGTAAAGGCAAAAATTGCCTTGTGGAGTTCAGTCTTTTTATATTGTTAATGAAACTATTAGTGTAAGCAAATGATTGTGCTTGGCCGACATCTTTGATAATTTCTGGAACACTGCTACAGGTAGAAAGTATAGTGGAAAGTTGTGGTCCCACTAACATGTGGGACCCAGATCATCGTACATTTTCCTTGTCTGGGTTCTCAGGCTCTCCAGAAAGAAATATCTTCCTTAATTCTATTAAAAGGTCCTCCATTGACTTGGCAGTTGCCATGCTGATTGGTCAGAAATATAACATCCTTACCATATCCTATCAAAGCAGTCTTGCTATAGTGAAATATGGTAGAAATAAAGTATTAATTCAAATATTAATAAATGACCAGACGGCAAGAGATGTCGACCTACCGTTCATTGTCATTCTAGTGCTTGTTTACATCTGTCTGACCATGTTAGCCTTATGCCATATTCTAGTCTGTTTGTGCACGATCCCACCTCAGGACCCGAACAGATGGTTGGCCATTCAAAGAAAGGTGGAAGTGCTAAAAATTACAAATATCCCAGCTTTGCACCACTGCCAGCAGATGGCCACAAGGACCTGGTGGAAGATTGCTTGCCTTGGAAAATGGTTTTTCTAGGCACTTGAATGGAGGGGCTGCTGTATCTTGGAACAGTCAAAATTAACCTTTGTGGCTCCCTGCAAATATTTACATTTGGTACTTGACTCCATTGTATCCTGAAAAATGCTGACCAAAATATTGAAATGTATTGTTAACTATTTTTACTAACCAGGTAGTGAATAAGTTTTATAATCGGATCTGCATAAGGCAAGATCCTTCCCTTACCCCAGTATACTGTATAGGTTAGGAGAGAAGTAAATGATGGTAATAAGTAGTATTAGTGAATAAGATGGACAAATTTGAGCAAATAGTGTGCTTGTGGATAGGAGACAGGGAATTGACAATCTTGATTTTTTCTTGATTTTTTCATGTTTTCACTTCGTAAATTGAAGGTATATTCTTCGTTTTTAGTTTTTTCTAGTTAGGAAAGTGCTAGTGGGCAAGACTAGGTGGAGGTAGACTTCAAACTTACATTATATAGATTCTTTCCAAACTCATTGAAGTAAAAGGTAAAGTATGTAAAATGTTTCTCCACAGGAACATCATCCATGGCTCTGACTCCGTTGAATCTGCAAACAAGGAGGTTGCTCTATGGTTCAAGCCAGAGGAACTTGTCAGCTGGACACAAGCCGAGGAGACCTGGATCTACGAGTAAGACCTGAAGACTAGACAGGGGAGGAAGGGAGCTTTATTACTTCCATGAGGTGATGTGATATGGCACTTTTGGCTTAGCTCGCCGTCGTCTTACATCTTGCCCAGTGCCGTTCACCTGTTGTGGGACTAGTGTCGGGCCCCCTTCTTACCCGTGCTTATTTAATAATAAAACTTTTAATTTGATTGGCAGTTTTATTTTGCCAACACCATTCCACTATTGTAATCATTGTCTGGGTATTGCATTGAGCATCTGACTGAGTGTTGAGTATTTTGCACTTAAAGTGTGCACTGTAAATTGCATAAATTAAGAATACAATTTTCAAGATAATGATAATTTAATATCAGCAGAAAACTGTGTTGATAATTGTAGATGTGACGTTTAGTTGCTGGGTTTGGTCATTAACAGTGCATGTTGCTCAAAGCAATAATATGCATGTTTAAATGTAAATGCTGACAATCATTGGCAGCTTTTCAAACACAATATTTGTGCTGAGACTATTTATTTTATAGTCCAAAGAATTGCAAATTATTTCATTGGCTAGATCTTTTTTTTTAAGATGAAAGGCATGTAAATTTTCTCCTTTTATATATTTTTAGCAGTGATCACATACTGAGCATCGCATACACATACTGAGCATCTTAACATTCGTATACATATTAAAATTCAGAACTTGGTAATGTTTCTCCACGTTTTGATTCTGCCCCCTAGTGACTAGAATGTCAGAAGGTATTATAGACGAAGACCTTAGTCAAAGTTTACCAGACATACTTTTCACTTAATTTTAAATTTACAAACAATTGTAGAGGGAAAAATGATAGTTGCTGCCTTAGATATGCCACATGCCATCAATGTTTTTGTGCAATGTGCATGTCAATATTGTGATTAGTTTGTGCTTGATTCTTGTGCCTTGCAATGGCATGAGTTTTCTTTGCTATTGTATTACTGTGTCAAGAAAATGAAGTTCCAGCTTGCACTGGTATGGCTTTTAACAAGATTTCTGCTTGAATTGCCCCAAACTTAGTGAATAGTTACTAAGGCTTACATTTAATCAGGCAGTATATTCAATAGTGGTTATATAAAAACTTTGGCGACATCATATCCATCTTAATGAACACTAACTGGAATATTTTAAATGGTGGGAGAGTGACTTGACTTAGTTCTTTTGTAATTGCTCTGCAGTTTTTAATTTAAAATTGTTAGGGGGGTCCTAGACTTCATCATAACAGCTACTATTTCCCCATTACCTTGTCCCTCAATCTTCAAATTAGTCTTCACTTGCCCAGATGAAGGTTTTAGAAATTATCTAGAAATTATACTTGATTATTATTTGTGAAAAGTGTCGCCCAGTTATTGGGGTTGCATTCTTTATTTATGTATCCTTAACTGGTTCTACCCTTGACATCGTGCTATTCCTCAGTTTGTCTACTGGTAGAATTTGGACTGCCTTTGCAATCACCTGTTTGCAGGAAACTAAAACAAAATTGGTTTAATAAAACAAGTGTATTTTCACTACAGGATAATTTGATCTACTTAATAAAAAAGAGCAATGTAGGGATTCCCAGACAATCCTTAACTCGCTGGACCATGATACTAAGTAATTGAACCTGGGATACTACTAAATCCACTAGGTTTAGATGAACCAAGTTGATTCTGGAGATCAGTGTACCCACAGCCAGGTTCTCCAGGCCAGCAATTTCTCTAGCTTTGGATGAGGCTGTTAGTGTGCAACAATATTTCACTCAAGAGAACAGTATTGCCTGCCTTTAGTATCATCATTGGTATAGCATCTCTTGTTTGGTTCTTTTTATCCAACCTGTCATTTTTCATGCAGTTGTGACAGCAACTTTGTGGTCTTTAAAAGCAGGGTATTCTGATGTGATTACTGAAAAAAGCAATGTAAAAGATTTGAGTTTCATATTTCTTTGATTTCGTTTTTTCCATAATTGTAACGGCCCATTAAACCTTTTATTTTCCTCTATATGTCTGTGTCCTCCATATTGTCTACTCATGAAAGTCATTTGCAAAGGATTATACAGTACAGTGGTACTTTCGTTTAGCATCTTTGGGAACGCATTAGAACTGTAATCTGTTCCCAGTACACCAAAAAATCCTTAACCAAAACAAATCTCCCCACAAAAAATAATGTAAACTGAATTAATCCGCTGCGCACACCCAAAAACATTAACTTAAAGAAGACAATGAGTATTATTCCATGTAACTTATTACTATACTTTACCTTTATTAAGGACTTGTTGGTGTATGGAAGATGGGGGTGGGTAGCAGAAGTGGTGGTAGTGTTTTGAAGGGAGTCCCCTTCCATTATAACATCAGGCAGTGATGACATTTCTGGGGTACTATTTTGCCTGCATACCACTAGGACCTGGCTGTGGCTCACTGCTTGCTTGTCTTACCAAGAATCTGAATACACTTGTTTTCCTTGTTTTAACACAGGGAAACGCATAGTTTTTAACTGTTTTTTCCCTATCTCTGTAACGAGACATCAGTCATTAAAATGGTTAATGCAACAGCCACCTACGGTTATATCTGGGTGACACTGTTCAACATTTTGCAGTTCCCATACTGCACATTTTTTTTTAATGAGGAAGGGACATTCTCTACTGCCTCCTCCCCTGAAGAAATTTCCTCAGTTCTCTCTTGTTGCTATTCCTTGTTAAGGGCTAAGAGTTCACTGGTCAGTTCTTCGCCATGTTCCTCCACATGAGCACCATCCAGCCTAGCTAGTTGAGCAACCCTCATACCATTTTAATGTTTACGAATGATTTCTTGGTTTTCCTTCGACATTCTCACAACTATTTTCTTAAGTTGAACTTTACCACTGATTTTCTTGAGACCCCATGATGTGATATATAATAACTCGTGTTCTGAAAGCAGGAAAAACAACGAAATTCTTAAAAAAAAATTAAAGCGCAGTCTTCACTATGGGATACACTGGTAAACAGTGTGCCTCGCCCCCCAGCACCACGTGCTCGTTCGACCCATACACTTATCGACAGCCGTCGTATTCCAAGGAAAATGTCGTACACCAATTCAAATTTTACGATGAATTTGATGTATACCAAGAAACAAATCATACTCTAGGGCAGTTGTAAACCAAAGTACCACGGTACTGTGTATTCTTGTCCATGTCTGATATGAGGACAAGGAAAAGTACCCTCGGGAACAACTTTTCACTAAATTTGGAAATTACTTTGTAGACTATTACTCTGGATTCTATCCATTAAGAAGTTGATCCACCTCCCTCTTTTGGCCAGTAATTTCTTTTGCACACATTGTGTAAACTACTGCCATAGTTACATTAGTTGAAAGCCTTTGCAAAATCTGCGTATATTACGTTGTTTTCTTCCATGGCATACATATATTGAGAATTGTGGTTCTGTGGGTTAAGGCGTGTGGCTGGGTCTGACCTGGTCAGGTATCATACCAGCGTCATACCTGCATAACAAGGTCATACCAGGCGTGGTATGACCTGAGGCCCGGGTCATACATAAGTCCCCAGCATTGCTCCAATTGATTTTCTTCTTGATACTGTATATCATGCTAATGTGATTTTCTTGTCTGAATACTCATGGGAAGGGAAGCCTTATATCTGGATTTTATTTTTGGTGCAAAAGTTTGCAAATTTGAGCATTAGTACTTTTATGTATCCTGTGGTACACTATTCCCGCCCCCCCCCCCCCCCCTGCCCCTCCTAGTGTTAATGAGGTTCTACTACAGTACTAGCCTTTAGCACTGGTTATCTTCCTGAATTGGTTGACTGAGAGTATCTTGCAGGATGTGGCCCAATGAACATTACCACATTTCCAGAGTTTGTTTTTTCTGAACCATTATTTCTGTTCCCTCATTGCCCTTCCCATATGTGGCTCCACCATTGCCCTTCCCATATGTGGCTCCACCGTTGCCCTTCCCATATGTGGCTCCACCATTGCCCTTCCCATATGTGGCTCCACCGTTGCCCTTCCCATATGTGGCTCCACCATTGCCCTTCCCATATATGTGGTTCCACTGTTGCCCTTCCCATATGTGGCTCCACCATTGCCCTTCCCATATGTGGCTCCACCGTTGCCCTTCCCATATGTGGCTCCACCGTTGCCCTTCCCATATGTGGCTCCACCGTTGCCCTTCCCATATGTGGCTCCACCGTTGCCCTTCCCATATGTGGCTCCACCATTGCCCTTCCCATATGTGGCTCCACCATTGCCCTTCCCATATGTGGCTCCACCGTTGCCCTTCCCATATGTGGCTCCACCGTTGCCCTTCCCATATGTGGCTCCACCGTTGCCCTTCCCATATGTGGCTCCACCGTTGCCCTTCCCATCTGTGGCTCCACCGTTGCCCTTCCCATATGTGGCTCCACCGTTGCCCTTCCCATATGTGGCTCCACCGTTGCCCTTCCCATATGTGGCTCCACCGTTGCCCTTCCCATATGTGGCTCCACCATTGCCCTTCCCATATGTGGCTCCACCGTTGCCCTTCCCATATGTGGCTCCACCGTTGCCCTTCCCATATGTGGCTCCACCGTTGCCCTTCCCATATGTGGCTCCACCGTTGCCCTTCCCATATGTGGCTCCACCGTTGCCCTTCCCATATGTGGCTCCACCGTTGCCCTTCCCATATGTGGCTCCACCGTTGCCCTTCCCATATGTGGCTCCACCGTTGCCCTTCCCATATGTGGCTCCACCGTTGCCCTTCCCATATGTGGCTCCACCGTTGCCCTTCCCATATGTGGCTCCACCGTTGCCCTTCCCATATGTGGCTCCACCATTGCCCTTCCCATATGTGGCTCCACCATGGTCCTCTTATATATAGCTCCAGTGCCCTTCCCATGTATAGAACATTTATTAAAATTTCTGTAATCTGATAAACTTGGAATGTAGAAACTTTGGTTTAGGAACAGACTATAAATAAGTACCGGTAATTTTTTGTTCTTTACATATTCCAAATTGGGATGGAGATAAACATGTGGCAATACAGTATTTAAATTTTGCAGGTCTGCCATTTTAACATTTTGTGTGTAAATTCAGTGGTCAATTCTTTGATGTTGCAAAAGGTAATGTGTTGTAATTCAGCCCCATTTGTAGCTTCCAATAATATGTCCTCCAGTAAGAAATGCTGTACAAATGTTTGTATAGGGTGTCGAGTCTTTTAGTAGAAAGCATATCATCCACCTTCAACTTTATATGTAAACAGTTTGTGCACCTTACACAGTCCTTATTAAAGCTTGTACTGTATAATGACTGCTGCCTTTATTGAAAGTCCTGCTATCCTTGCAGTCATGTACACAGTTGCAAGTATTACTTGCTTGCACACTTTCTTATATGTTTATTGGCAATTTATGCCTACCTTTCTCACAAGGATGGTGCCTCTTGTTAAATCATTTACAATCTTAACCACTACAGTAAAGGCTAATTCAACCCCCCCCCTACTAAAAACGTGCAATAATGTCCAAATGTTTCTGGTTACGGGTGGGATGACGTCCACTGATAGTGATGGTTTGTCATTTTCCTGATCAAACATTGCTGCTTTATCTGACATTTTTGTACAGGCTAGCTTTATGCACTTTTACGTAAGTTACTTTACCACAATAACAAATATTGGTGTATGAAAACTTGAACAGTGCTTTCGTGAGCGTGGAGTCTTATTTAATGTTAGACATCCTGTAGTGATTCATAGTGGTGTTGCCACTTAATGATCTCACGGATACTGTTACAAAGAGGCGCCATTAGATGCCTGGCCCATCTCCCAAAAGTTAATTCCTTACTCAGATTTCTATCCTGTCAATCAGTGCAATCCACAGTATTGACTGCCGCCTCCTGCTACTGAAACAGGAAATTTGAAATTTATCTGTAGTGTTCAGTGCACTTTTAGGTTATCATAGCAAGTTATTATATACAGTAGATACATAATTAAGTCAGTAGTATTAACTTGTTCATTTAAACTATGAGAGGCAAAAGGAGTCTAGTATGTTTTTTTAGCTTGACAAATACAGTTTGCTCCTAATAAGTCTTCAGTTATTTTAGAAATTATATAGGCCTACATTAAATAATTTGTGGCAAATTAAATATTGAAGATTAACCCAATGAATTCTAATTAGGAAAACCTAACCTAACTGAGTATTTGCCACATTGAAATACCAGATATATTTTGAAATTGCTTACCTGTATAATATAAAAATATAAAAGCCTTACGTAGCATCACTTGGGTAAAACTATTGGAGAACATTGCCGATTTTATTGTGCAATAATACTTAGTAATTTATTTAAAGTGCATTACTATTTGAAATGTCTTGTAGATCCTACATTTCCTAATAATATTTATACCTTGACAATATTATAAACATTGGGACCCCTCAATTGCTAATTAAATACTGGTAAGAATAATAATTTATATACAGTACTGTAATACAATATGTAGGTACAGTCTCGGCCATCAATTCTTTTCTGTTTTGGATATATAAATGGATAAGTAACATTGCTGACTGGGTGTCCATGAAGCATGTTTAATTCCCTATTTATATTCCACGAAATATGCCAAGAATGTTATTGGATTATAAATAATTGTTTTGAATTATATTGATGACATTTCATGTACGTCATCTTTACTATATTCCATGGAATATGCCGAGGATATTGGATTATAAATATTTGAATTATGTTTTTGTAGTAAACATTATGTTCCACAATACATCATGTTTACTAATATAAAACATTAGCTCTAGCTTACCAGGGTACGTATGGTAAGAAGCTGTTTCTTGTGTATAACAGTAGATGACGTCATCCTATGAATGAATAATAGTAAATATTGAAAACATTTTCATTGGTCAAAGAGTTGCCATGTTCTACTTTTATTTATGCTTTACTTGCCTTTATCATTTATTTGTGTTTCATTATAAATTTATATAGATGTTTATACACACAAATACACAATTTAATTCTCAAGAGTTCCAGTGTCTTCCACTGAATCCAAACTAGGGTTCCACACAACTGGGCTGTGGGGTTTTCTATTTTGCTTTCCCGACTGCAATGAGTACGTCACCAATGTACATGTGGCAGATGCTTCACGAAGTTGTCGGAATCAGCAGAGAAAATACGAGAGCAACCGTACAGGGCTTGGGAGCAAGGTCGAGTTAGAGTCCTTGAGGGTCTCTTCTCAGACTAGCCTCACCTGATCCTGATCTACGTTGGCTGTTGGAATCTCCTCAATGCTTGAAACACTTTAAGGGACTCCTAGGGTCCTCATCACATTTATAGTTTAGCGAATAATAGGCAACTCAGTGTTGAAGACACCTGGAGCTGAAGGCTTGAGTAATAGTTGGCAGTACAGTATTCAGAAGTGGTTCAAAGGAAACACTGCATAAAGCTTAACAGTAGTTTATTTACAACCTTAACCATTAATACAATGGGTGCTTGATTTAGATTGACATCAGAAAGGTTATGGTTACATTACGAGACTTGATGTCTGGCTAATCGATTCGGATCCACTCGTGGAAAAACATCACACAATTGAGTTCCAACCGACATACTCGGTATGTAACGATGATGCACATACTCTGGTAACGATCAACAATGGCACTGTCACTGGGACGGGCAGTAATCATGTACAATAATTGTCACACAGTAACTAAATGTGTGGTGTATGTGAAAATCACATTCATAGACGAGTGTAATGTCGTGGTACCACACAGATAAACATGCATTCACCGTCTGGTGTGTTGGTCTCCACCTATACCTGCGTCAGGTACGAGAAGGTGAGAACTGTGGTTGATCCCTCAGATCAACACACAGACACAATAATAAAGAAACAAGATCTTGTACTTACAGGTAGGCTACCTCTCTCATTCACATTCATGTAAGAACTCGTAGGTGGCCTGACAGTTGGTTTCGCTCGTTTTGACGTGAGACCATGGACGACAGGCTTTCCCAACAAACCGTACTTGACACAGAGGGTACTCGCAGGAGGGCGTGCTGTATGTCTAACAGACACACGCACACACTTGATGACACTGGCGGTGAGTAAGGTGATGACGGGTGGTGACGTCACGTAGTACAGTGAGGCAGGGCGGGTGGCGGCTTGAGGCTAGCTACACGCTCTGGACCGAGTGGTGGCTGGCGGCTGATTATATGATACCATGCAGGTACACTGTGGCAAAAGTCACGCACAGATTAGTTGGGCGGCGGCACTGCCTTAGTTCACTTTAGGTCACTCACAGACGTCTCAATTTGTCACCAGGGGTTACCTGATACCAGTCTGTTTCGCTCTGGTAATTCACAGACTTTTTCACTATAGTCACAATCGCGATTCCGGGCGAGCGTTGGTATATCGAGAAGACGCTGAGTTTAACTTGAAGGCAAGGAATGGACGGTTTTCTGTCTATTGGCCGAATAGACAGAAGGACACGTCCAACATGTATTGACTCCCTCACGTGAATACCCTTGCAAGAGAATGCAGAGCTCCTCATGGGGCACAAACACAAGGGGTTACAATTGACCAATGGCGTTTCAGCAAAAGAGCGGGAACCAATCATATTGATCGTTCCATGATCAGTAGCAGAGGTGACGTCATGAACACGTCACGACCACGTCACAGTTGTTATTCTCCATCACGCTGGTTGAGGCTGACCCCAGAGGTCAGACCTGTCGTCTCGCTGGCATCCCCCCTCTCGCTCTCTCATGCTTGGCACCAGCTATGTATTCACTGACCCTATGGCAAGTATGCTTAATAACTCTGTATCTAATTTACCCTTGGGCATACGGCAGCCTCCGTATTTTATAAGTATTCCTGGTTATGTGGGCATCCTGGGCATCCACCCCACATGACAGATTACCATCCAGGGTCAACAGAGATAGGGCTTGTGCATGAGATCGGTGCACTGTGTACTGCAGTGAGTCATTCAAGTCGGCTGTGGAAGATACTCGAGAAACCATACTCTCACATGGGCCCAGTCGTCCAAGGTGTTTGCTTGGGAGTACCCAGAGCATAGGTTCGAATCCTTGTCAAGGCTTCTAGTGATTTTCTCATTGATACATAGCGGTAATGTGATTTTTATGTACATTGAAAAGGAAGAATAGAGGTAAAATTCCTGGACAACACAGCCAGAGCACATGGGAAGGGGGGGGGGGGGGGATGTGTGAAACCCTGTTAAGCTTCTGTGGAAGACATTGGAACTCTTCAAGATTCCATAATGCAATCCACAATCATTTGACATAAATGGTTAGTTACCACGAGTGACAACTTATATACCATAAAATGTTATCTATTCCCATGGCCATCCTCTTGTCAACTGAAATAGGAACTTTAGTACGTATTAGCAACATGATAATAATTCATAGATGCTTATTGGAACTGTAGGTTTCCTTAGTTACTTGCCTCCTGGTGGAGCATCCCAATTTTCAGGATCTAAAAATATGATGACAAATTCCTCGATAAAATCCTGCGTGAATCTGACTTCTTTGACAAGACAGACCTTTTGTTTTTTGCTTTCACATTGGCATCCTGAATATCTAGTAACTCTTCAACATTCAGTTCAGTACATTGCTATATAGCCATACTGGTTCATCACTCATAATTACTAACTGAATGCAACTGATACAGAATTGGCACTGGTAGTACAATTCTTGGAATGTAACCAGTACAAGACGGGCATTGATAGTACTGTAGTGAAATTGATGTACAATACCAAAGTGCCTGGCTTTTCATACTTTGCAATGGCTGCTATCCAAAAATATATTTAACATTGCTTTAACTTTTGACTTACTAATAGCCCAAGTTTGTCTTTGCTTCATATTGCAGCTGTTTAAATGCAATCTTTATATTAGTGAAGGCAACATATGCTAAATTAAAAGCATTGTGTCAAGATTGAAATACTGAACATTACTTAAATGTCAAACTAGAACTGGTAAAATTGCAGTTTCAGTATTAGCCGAGAAATTTTATGTCAACTTGGGAGATTTTAAATTTAAAGCTGCACATTTAGTCATATACCATTATTAAACAGTGTTTGTACCTAATATTGGCATCTAATAAGCAAGAACTTACTCTACGCAACCTCTCGGCTCGACTGTTGAAACAAGGGTTTCATAGTTAAATGCTAACTTTTGGTTAGGGAAAATATTAACCCAGAGACAATCTAGTTAACTACTGTAACGAGGTGCTAAATCAAATTGTTGAATACTGCATATAAGTTAAAGTTAAAGAGACACGACAACCTGGCAATGTTAGTGGAAGTTATAATGGTAAGAATGAAGACAATGATCAGGTATATCATTACTTCAAAACAAAGGGCAGGATTTACAGCCTGTGACTTTTATCATGAACAAATATGCTTAATTGATCTGTTCCTGTAGTACAGTGGTTTACAGTCTCGGCTCACAGCTGAGGGACTCGGGGTCATTCCTGGCTGGGACAAACTGTTGGGCATATTTCCTTTCATCTGATGACTCTGTTCACCTAGCAGTAAAATAGGTACTTGGGAGTTAGGCAACTGTTGTGGGTTGCATCCTGGGAAAGGTCAGTAGTTAGCTTAGAAGAACTTCGATAAGCCTAAGGCGTTCTGTCTTAGATAACGAGACTTATATTGCGGTGGACACGGGCAATAAAATGTAGTCTTGAATGAAAGACAAATAAGATTAAGGAACAAAGCATCTTTAATTTTTGAATGAAGTTATTCCAGTTCTTGACTGTAAAGCATTTTCTAAAGAACACAAATGCATTGTCATAATCAAAACTGCCAGGAACAGCTTTTGAGTTTTCTTATGTAAATGTAAGACACTAAGTTCTGGAATCATTATTATTTAAGAGGCTGTAAACTGTAAATGCTTGTATACTGTATGTGAAAGTGGCAACTCTTCTCACATGGTTGTAGTTGTCATGTCTGAAGAATCTGTCCATAAGTGTTCTCTTACAAAGTTACATTTTTAAATGAAAATGGCTGAAATTGCATCAAGAAGTAGTATCTTATGTATTTGAAATGCTTCTGAAGCAATAACTGTCAGTGGGATCAACAACTTTCTCAAATGGCTACCATAGTACATAGTCCAAATTTGTCCTAATGAAATGTTACACTGTACAGTATATTCTGATACAGGTTGGATATGAACTGGCGGGAAAAGACGAGACGAACCAAGTCGCATCTTTTTCCACAGAATACTTTTTGCTCCCTATAAAGATACCTTGATATAGCAACACATTGTAATACACAACACAAACAACATTGTAATAGTTAATTAATCTTATGAAAATTAATGTGCATGTAAATCTGACAAACTATTTCAACTGTTATTGAGAAAGAAAATGATGGGAGGTTGCCATAATGGAAGCTTTCTGTTGAGATTAATTATATGAGGATCCAAATAGGTAGGAAATTAAAAAGCCAGCATTGAATGTTATGAAATGCCTTTTTTGGAGAGCCCCAGTGGCTCCCTGAAGCTATCTTGCTGAGCTGGCTCTTACTAGGTTCCATCAGCCATGGAGCTGGCTCTTACTAGGTTTCATCAGCCATGGAGCTGGCTCTTACTAGGTTTCATCAGCCATGGAGTTCTGTTTGGCATACCAGGGATTACAGCCAGAACCTGGCCACATCACAGGTGCAGAGAACACGTGACAGTCCACCACCCCACCGGGAAAGCATAAAAAATGTCAACGACCAATACAGCAACCCGTAAATATATAAAAATATAAAAGAGGATTTCTGCAGAGGTCTCAGAAGACGGGATAAAGGAACACTCCCAAAACTGTGTTATCTTAAATAACTCGGTTGCCTCTGCACCCGAAGTGGAAGGAGCCACGCCTGTAGAAGGCCAAGCAACATCTCAAGCTAGACTCAGCCCTGGCTCTGAAACTCTCAAACATTTCTGAGTCGGAAGCAGGGAAAATGGAGGAACAGAAGCCAGGTGCACCCAATCCAAAGAAGGAAGAGGAGGCATAGATGGAACCAAGGTAGAATTCATCAACATTTCTAATTCTGGTCCTTAAGAGCAAGAAGGGTCAACTCTCAGGCATTCAGCCAGGCACAAAGATGGGCAAAACAAACCTGCAAGGCAACAGCTGCCTGATAGGTTTGTACTTCATCAGGAGGGTCAGAGAGAAGAGCCACATGGGGCAACAAATCCCACAAGACTCAAGGCCATAGATGTCACCAACCAAACAGGCAGCATAGCGGAGGCAGAAAAATGATCACCACCTTGTGGCATGGTCGATGAACAGCCCTCAAACTTGCACAAGGTGAGGTGAGAGTGGGTTCTGAGGGTACATCCACAGGCATCACTAAACCCGTAGGGTATTACCAGGGCCCGAAGAACTGACCAAACAGGACACCCAGGCACTGGGGATACTTGCCAGGAATTATCTAAGTAGACCAATACAACCTAGTCAATGCAGTTGTGAAGGCCTACCTTGACGTACAGCATAGACAAGTGTGCGAAACCCCAATGTGCCCCAATCAGCCAAAATATTTGCCCCCAACCAAGGGTCTAGACAGGGGCAAGAGGTAACACCCTGACACCCAAGGTAAGGTCCCACCCCTAGGGTCTGGCCTCTATGGAACAAACTCCCTAACACACCAGAGAAGAGAACTCAGGGGACAGTGCTAGGGGAGCACCCAGAGAAGATAGCCCTGAGCACATGCAGCTCCAAGCACCTTACAAGCCAGGTCCAAACAATACAGACCAGACTGAAAACATGGCCATGAGGCTAATTAAAACATGGAATAGCAACAAGCAAATGACCCCACAGTACGAAGTCTAAGAAAGGCTGGTACTTAGCTTAGAAGCAGCAGGACCCGCATGGCTTGTCGAGAACCCTGGAACCCTACAGCGGACATCTAAACGTGACCACATCAATGACCGAATTGTCTTGAAGAGCTGGGAAAAACCTGGAGCTCCGGCCCCCTACTCGACAAGAAGGGGGGGGGGGTAAGTGCTAACGAGCTCACATTAGTTTTGCGAGATTTGAACATTTGTTTATACTGATTGGGAAAGTTCATTTGGCAGTTTCAAGGTTTCATTCTCTTTGAACCCAGCCGTGGTCTGTATGGGTTTGCTGACTAGGTGCTATCCTGGTGGGGTGGCAGTGTGTCCCCTGCTCTCTCTCTCAAGTGGTCAGGCTCTGGCTCTGGTCCTTGGTAGGTCAAACAACACTCTTGGCTTTTGCGACCTAGTGGTTAGGAGCCATCTCAGCGAGGTAACTTCAGGAAGCCACAAGGGGCTTCCCTAGAAAACAAATTTGCAGCCAAAGCGAATTGACTAAATCCTCCTCTTGGAAAGTCTATTGCTCATTTGCTGCAGAACCTCTCGCCTTCCATAATAGGTAGCCATCTATCCGTGCCTCCTGTATTGAACAGTGAACTCTTAATCTGAAAAATTTCTTCTGTTCATTGATTAACCATTTCCTTGGTCAGATATAACAAATTATAACTTGGAAAAAAACACTTTTTTGTTCCATTTATGGTGCATTAATCATGCACAGTATTTAGAATTATCTGAAATAATTGATCATAAATTTGTTTCAGGTTAATGGAATTTTTTGGTGATGTGACAACATCATGTGGACTACAGATTTTGAATGACTACCTACAAGATCGTAGTTACATCCATGGCTTCACTCCCTCAAAAACTGATGCAGAAGTGTTTTCTTCCCTGGCTAATGTCCCAGAGGAACACTTTTGTCATGCTCTTAGATGGTACAACCACATACAATCCTTCAGTGTTGAACTCAAGCTAACATTTGGAGGAAATTCTGCATCAACAAATGACTTGCTACAAAATGCTGCATTAATTGAAGAAGTGGTAATAAATTCAAGCGACTTATTAAGGCAAGATAAAGAAATGACATCAAGTGAGATAAATGATGTATTAGAGGTTATAGATACTGATGATGAAGATGAATTTGATTTGTTTTGTTCTGATGATGATGATGAAGATCAGGAAGCAGCAAGAATTCGTGATGAGCGACTGAGAGCTTATGCTGAGAAAAAGTTAAAGAAACCCAGTCCTGTTGCTAAATCATCAATAATGTTAGATGTGAAACCATGGGACGATGAAACTGATATGAAGACAATGGAGGAACTTGTTCGGTCGATTAAGATGGACGGTCTTCAGTGGGGTGCCAGCAAACTGGCTCCTCTAGCATTTAGCATTAACAAATTATCTATTTTGTGTATTGTTGAAGATGAAAAGGTCTCAGTTGATGATCTTATTGAAAAGATATACGACTTTCAAGATACAGTACAATCTGTTGACATTGCTGCATTCAACAAAATATAAAAATAGAATATAATAATATTTTAAAAGTGTACTGTGCTCTTTCCATTATCTGCATACACCGGAAAGAAAAATTCCAAATTGTTACCTATTGGATGTTGTGATAAAAGGTCTGGAAGTGTTTTGACGAGATTGGAATTATATAAACTAATTGCTTGTTTAATGCTATGATAAGTACCAAAATGTGAGGCGAAACACAAGCACATATACCTACATAACTATTACTTTTGCACAGATACAAAACACCGACATATTCCAAATTTTCTGTAATATGACTATTACACTGTCATTACAGTATATCATTTACTTGTTTCACTATCACATTGATATTATTCATATAATTTTTCCGATCTAATTTTTCAACGGAAAACAGTATTGTTCCATTTCTCATCCTTTAATTCTTTATTTGAATAATAAATTTTTAAAATATAATACACTATACTCAACATTCATAAGCACTTCAGTTTTTAGTTTCAAGTTGTAATGTGGTAAATAATTATCAAAAGAAGGCAACAAGTGAGGAAGACACTGCAGCACCGTCTGTGTCATGGGATATTAAAACCAGCGATGAGTGTAATAAAACACTATTTTCTAGACGAGCCCCGGAGGCTTCCTGAAGCTTTTTAACTGACATGTGTCATATTAGTTTGGTGCCGTCAGTCCCGTGAGTTCTAGTGCCTACCGGAGACCAGAGCCAGAACTTGATCCCCCTCAGAGAGGCGCAAGGAGCAATGGCCATTATGAGCATGCTACATTTAGAATATGTCATGTCTACCATCGACTGGGGAGAACACCCAGAAAGATAGGCCAACCAATACAAACTCCCAACTACTGTAGTAAAAATTGCAACCTACGTCTGAACAGAGCCAAAGAACTTCCCCAAAAAACAAACAAGCAAGCAAGTAAATTGTCACCCAACTAGCGCACCTGCTTGTTAGCAGGCGCGGTTGACCCCTCCTCGCCAAAAGGAGGGAGGGGGAGCCCACTCAGGCAATCCAGCAGGCCACTACCCCAGTTCGTAGAATGATGAAAAACGCCGACAGTAGGGAGGGAGGGTGTCAGGGAGCCTCCGGGGCTCACCCATAAAATGGCATTTCATTATACTGTATTCAACGCTGGTTTTCTGTGAGGAGCCCTGTCGGCTCCCTGAAGTTAAATACTCACAGATAAATAAAACAAGGACTTACCCAGGAGGCAGCAGCACCGCAGATCTCAAGACAAAAATGAGACAACAGGCCATGACAGACGTCCCAAAGCAACACAAGGTTGGAGACGGCCAGGGAACAGTCACAAGATACCCAGCGGCCAATACCCCATACAACCTCCAAAACCCCCCGTGCCCAAATGATGACCCAAGATATAGTACCAAAAACAGCGGCCAGAGCAGCATACTTACGCATAACATGGGCATGAGGGTAGACCGCAGGCTGCCTAGACTTGATAACTCTGCGGTCAACTTGAGAGACAAGCCCTGGAACAGGGAACCAGGGAAACCAGAATAACCCAGAGCACATCCCCTGGAACCGAAGCAGTGGTCCTCAGGTAGCGACATAAAACCGCCACCAGACACAAAATATGATGCACCCCTGGCTGAACCAACCAAGCATCAACAACCTAGGGACCCCACAGGAAGCCAGTCGACTCATTCTTCATCAGAAAAGAAAGAGAGGGCTGCAAACAAAAAAACAACCCCCAGGACCAAAGGAACAGGAACCCTTGCGCTGGAGAAGAACACGAAGCTCCCCCCAATCCGACCCCAAGAGGCCAAGGCCAACAAAAACAAGACATTCAGAAAACAATCCCAAACCAAAGGGCCACAACAAACTGAGAGAAGGAAAGAAGAGAGAGCCCCCGGTCCAAAGACCCAAGACGGCTCAAGTGAAACACGAGCAGGCCGGAAGTGAAAATTTGCACGGAGAGCTTGCGGAACGGGGCAGAAGGAACACCCACCCTGAAGGCACGTTGGAGCGGCTCCGCCAATGCTGCACGATAAGAAGTGATAGTATTCGGCACGAGACGCCGGTCCCCCCCCCCCCCCAAAAAAAAAAAAGAGCCAAGAAAGGACAAAATCACCTCCACAGACACCGACAACACCATCAAAGGGAAAGGAAATGGCAGAAAGACTGTAGGTGGGACACCATCAGAGAACCCACCTGATCACCATACAAGCAGTGATACAACCGCGTCAGAAAAACCAGACAAGATGAGCGGACAAGTAAGTTGAACCAGCAAGGTATTGTACCTTACTGGCCTGACCTACTGAAAGAGGCGAAGCCACGGAAAGACTCCCAGGTACAGCCCGTAGCAAGCAGTGCCGAAAACCTAGGCTGGGCCAGGCACCATGGAGCCAGAAGAAGCACCCTCCCCTGATAGGATTTGAGCCGAGCCAGAACCCGAAGCCAAAAAAAACCCACAAGAGGACAATGCAGCCAGGCGGAACAGAGCTGGCCACTATAGGTGATAACTAGCTGTGCAGTACCCCTCTCCCCTACCAGTGACGAAAACTACCTCCTACCCTGAGGCAAACAAGGGCAACAAAAACCCCAGTTGACTTCAAGGGTCTGGGGTCTGGGGGCTCCTCCTCCCTAGAAGAAGGGGGTTGCACAGACAGCGGTGTGGCAACGTGATGACGTCATGCTCGTTTGCTAATTTTCGTTTGTGGAGTTTTGTCCACTTGTGCGGCTTTCGGTAGCAACGTTTTCAGCAGAATAGGGGTTTGTTTTGGGGCGCATACCTTTCTGGGTGCCAGACCCAGTCGATGGTAGATATAGAATGCTCCCAACTGCACAGGGGTTTCTATAGGCCAATGCTCCTCGTGCCTCTCTGAGGGGGGGCCAGGTTCTGGCTCGTGGTCCCCAGTAGGGAAGAACTTCATGCACATTGACTGACTTAAATATCCATATCAGCCTGGATAGCCCCGTGAAGCCGACGGGGCTCCCCCCAGAAAGCACAGTTGTAACAACCAAAGATGAAGCCACATCAGGTGACAAGGTAGTCACCACTGGGGACTTGGGGGTTTGACCTTGCCAAGGAAATAGGAGGGCAATTGAGAGGATCAGTTGAGTGAACCAAAGATGAAGCCAGGTCTGGACCCAATGCAACCCAATCTTCCATCACTGTCTGTCTCTGGAGTCTGATCCCCAGCCCCACAAGTCTGTGCATTTTTCATGTGCCTATTTTTGTCAAAAGTTTGGGCTCCTGGAGTCAAGGAATGCTACCTACCAGGGAGGAAAGGGAGGCTGAACACTGGCCATGCAGAAAAGACGGCTTCATCCCTAGCGGTGCTCACCCCCCCTTTTTTTTTACAGGGGATTCTTACTGCATTGCACATTCTGTCACACCAGTGCAATAACCCCTCTCCTCTCCCCAACCTACCCCCATGGGCAAGCCTTCATTGGCGATCCCTCTAACGGGGGATTCGATGATTTTAATAGGACCCCAACTTTTGTTTCATTTTGCACGTACAATGCCTGGTGAGGAGCAGAAGATGGTGACGAGGCAATTCCCCATCAGCCAAAGGGAGTGATACATGAGCTCCCTCACCACAGGCTGAAACTCTTGAGGAGGCATAACATTGCAAGTTCCAATGCCATATACTCTACAATATTTAATACAACTGATCTCCACACCCAGAAGCACTTAAGGTATCTACAAACTTTAGTATGGAGGTTTAATGTAGATTTTATTCATATTTACATGGGTATTATGCAATGATGATAATTTCAGTCCAAACACTCAAGTTTAGTACAGTATATATCAACAAGCAGAACCAAGTGACTGATTGACAGAAATTTTATTATTGGCATAACAGCGAGACCATTGGCACTCAATACAACACAAAAAACCCAGCGTTGATTGTAATGAAATGCCATTTTCTGGGTGAGCCCTGGAGGCTCCCTGGAGCTATAGAACTGTTATATTATATTGCACTATATTACATAATATATTAGTCTGGGGCTTCAATTAATGGAGTTCTGCCTACCGGGGACCAGAGCCAGAACCTGGACCCCTCAAGAGAGGCACAGAGAGTAATCGACTGGGGTTAGGTACCCAGAAAGGTAGGCATCTCAAAACCCCACATGGTAGGAAATTTAAAAAAAAAAAAAGAACAAAGAAACAGAACTCCCAAAGGAATGCAAAGGAAACACGCAAACAACTAATCAACACTCACAGCCGCCGTGCCTCTTGTCTGCGCAGCCCTCCTCTCCCCGGGAGTTGAGCCCCGGACCTACAAGCCGGTTACTCATACCTCAGTTCGGAGGCTGAGCATAAAAAATGAACCCATAGCTACACCTTAGGAGGGAGAGACACGGAAGCGGTCCACTAGATCCACACGAGGCCCAGGCAGGTTCGAACCCGGAATGGAACCTGAGGGGACTTCTCCCAGGTCACCATGACCCCAAACCTGGTGAGCTGGGAAAGAACCACCCCGCTGGCGAGCAGACAAGCAGACTGGCTGCTTGTCTGCTTGTCCCACACCAACCAGTTGTCGAGGTAGGCCAAAAGGAAGGCAATAAAAACAAGATGCACGGTGCCCCACCATGAAACCGAACCAGTCCCTGAACCCAAGACGAAACGGGACGTGCCAATATGTGTCCCAGAGGGCCAGAGACACCAACAACCCGGCTCCAACAGAAGCCGGATCTGGGACAGAGAGGTCATCTGAAAGGAAGGGCAAGGAATCTAGCACTGACCGTAGACCAGATGGGACCAGTCCAGAAGAACCAAAGATCAGCACAATCCCACGACGGCACGGGAACAAGCGGGAAACCCACCTGAGGGATGAGGTCGTTCTGACCATGCCCAGGGCCACCCACTCGAAGATGACCCGACGGGGCACAGGGACAGAAGCCCACTACGCCAGCCCCGAGCCTCCGAGAGGAGGAGTCACCTAATGTCACCCACAGGCCGGAAGACACGACAGAAAACCCCCACAAATCTTGGGACCAAACGTGGGCAAACTGAGCCAGCCTCACCCCCATCGCCCCATCAACAGGGTGACTTGCGAAGGGGCCGGCACCCCCCCCTCTGGGAAGTCGACAAGTAAGCAGAGCGAGCACTACGCCGACCAAGCAAAGAGGGCCCCAGACAAGGAACTGCTACAAAAGCAGGCAGCAAAGGCCCACCTAGACGAGCATAAGCTGGAGCCCTGGCACGACCACCAAAGCCCCAAGAGGAATAGTAGTCTGCAAGCAAGGAAGACTTACAAGACCAGGAACCCCTTAACACACCCAAAATGGGGATGAGGACCTGAACGCAAAAGAGGCCGAGTCAAGAGGGGCAAATTCCGGGTCGCACAGGAGGAAAACACCAAGGGGGGCTCCAGAACCTCCACAGGGAAAACTTGAGAGGGAGAAAAACCCTCTGGAATGCAACCGAAGAACTCAAATACCCCGGAAATGAATGGCGGAAAACACACCATAGAAAGAAAAGGCCAGACACATGTCCCTGACCAAACCCCTGGCGAAAATTGCCAGAAAATGGATAGAAAATCGAGGGCTGTATGTGTGGGAGCCAGAGGAGCACACAGGGCACACACACCTGGCCCAAAACCAAGGGCCCAGAACCCAAACACAGAAAACACAAGACCGGGTGAAAAAAAAAAAAATGTTCCCAGAGGAACAAACAGGGCAGGAATCACCTATAGAAAGAACAAAACAGAGAAACGGCAAAGGGGGGATAGCAGAGGCGAAAAAATGCCTACAAACAGCGAGCTCACATGCCCAGCAGTCACATATAAACAAACCGCAAATGCTGCCCTGGTGGCCAGGAGGGGAAGCGCCCACCGAAAAGCAAAATTGCCACCAAAACAAAAGGAGAATCATCCGACGAAAAATGGAAATCACATCAGCAAATGGGGGAAAACAAAGCAGGAAGGAAGGAAGGACAAAACCCCCTCCCCCTGCCCAGATGGCACAAGGCCCAAGCAGAGGCAAACAGCCCCAGAACAGTGAGTGGACTTCCCCCACAGCCCCCAGAACCCCCTGACAGAGGCCCTGGGGCAGAGCCGCCCTCCACGCCCACCACCCTAGAAGAAAGGCAGAGTCCAAGGGATAGGCAACAAAAAGGAGCCTGCTGGTAAGGCCCAGAATCCTCAGGGGAGGAGCAGGCTCAAAGGCCTCCATCCCTGCAATTAATGGGGCAGCCCCTGGAGCCGCCCGAGTCTCGTCCCCAACTAAACCCCGCCTTGACTCCGAAACCCTCAGACAGTAGGAAGCTGGCAGCAGAGGGCGAAGGAGGGTAGGGTAGAGGAACCACAATGGCAGGGGAAGGACCAAGGGGTGCACACTGAACCAATACCAAAGTGACCAAGGCCCCCAAGTCTGACCCAACCAAAACGTTGCCTGCAGGCAACCAACCTAGCTCATTGCAACAACCAAAACCAACAATGCAACACAGACGCCGCCTGGCACCTAAGAATTTCCGAAGAAGAACAGGTAAATTGGAGTACGAGCTGGGAACACGTTTCACAAGACTCCGGGTCGTAGGAGTCACCGACCCAACAGGCAGCATGACAAGGCAAGAAAGTTGACCGCCACCTTGAAACAAGGGTGCTTTGCAGATGACACTAGGATTATCATGAGAGTTGGCAACATAGAGGACACGGCAAACCTCCAATCAGATGTAGATCAGGTCTTTCTATGGGCTACAGAAAATAATATGGTGTTTAACGAGGATAAGTTCCAGCTCATGCGCTACGGAAAAATTGAAAATATAAAAACAAACCACGTACAAAACTCAGGCAAATCATAACATAGAACGAAAAGGCAATGTAAAGGATCTGGGTGTACTTATGTCGGAAGACCTTACCTTTAAAGAACACAATAAAGTAGCCGTCACAACTGCAAGAAAAATGACAGGTTGGATAACAAGAACTTTTCACACTAGAGATGCTATACCGATGATGATACTTTTCAAAACGCTTGTGCTCTCTAGAGTGGAGTACTGCTGCACAATGACAGCCCCTTTCAAAGCTGGAGAAATTGCTGACCTAGAGAGCGTGCAGAGATCCTTTACTGCTAGAATCCACTCAGTAAAACATCTAAATTACTGGGACCGACTAAAGAGCCTAAATCTGTACTCCCTTGAGCGCAGGCGGGAGAGATACATAATAATTTACACGGGGAAAATAATTGAGGGGCTGGTCCCAAACCTGCACACAGAAATAACACCACATGAGACCAGAAGACATGGCAGGATGTGCAGAATACCCCCGTTGAAAAGCAGAGGTGCAACTGGTACTCTGAGAGAGAACTCTATCAACATCAGAGGCCCGAGACTGTTCAACACGCTTCCACTACACATAAGGGGCATAACTGGCAAACCCCTCACAGTGTTCAAGAGAGAACTGGATAAGCACCTCCAAAGGATACCTGATCAACCAGGCTGTGACTCATACGTCAGGCTGCGAGCAGCCGCGTCTAACAGCCTGGTTGATCAGTCCAGCAACCAGGAGGCCTGGTCGACGACCGGGCCGCGGGGACACTAAGCCCCGGAAGCACCTCAAGGTAGCCTCAAGGTAGCCAAGGGTAACGAACAACCTTCAACCTTGCACAAGGGGAGATGGGACTTGGAAGATGCATCCATTGGTCGGGCAATCCCCGACGGGGTTTTCCAGGGGGGCCCTTAAGGGGATCAGCCTACAGGGAGCCCAGGCAACAGTGCTGCAAAGCCAGTTGAGCTCTTGTATGTCAACCAGAGGGAATAAGGCTATAACTGAACCCCTGAGAGGTGTACAAGCACGGGGGCTTAGAGGAGGGCCACCAAAATACCTTACTGGGACTAATAGTCAAACCAGGCAGACCTCCTCCAAGCAATAAACAAAAAGAAAAGAAAAAACTCCACAAAAGCACAACCACAACAGGAGGAACAGGAAACACAACTGCCTCGTCGGTAGGCATGTTGTGCAGCACCTTGCGCCCCAAACCAGCAACAACACTTCCTCAGCATGCAGCCCTCAGTACACTATGTTACCTCTGGCCAACATGCTACAAACAGCAGAATCTGTGGCCAGAGTAAACCTCCGTCCCAGAGCACTTCAGCCACGAACTGAGGTGTGAGTAGCCGATGTGTAGGTCAGGGGCTCCCCCATCCCCCTCCCGGGAAGAGGAGGGCTGTGTGGACAAGCAGCATGGTGGGAGTGAGTGACGGATGCTTTGTTTCCCTTGTTTTCCTTTGGGGCGTTCTGATTCTCTGTTCGGTTTTTTTTTTTTTTTTTTTTTTTTTTCAATTTCTTACCATGTGGGGTTTGTTTTGAGATGCCTACCTTTCTGGGTGCCTAACCCCGGTCGATGCTAGACAAGGAATACCCCCAAATACAAGGGGAAGAGGGGGTCTCCTTAAGCCATTATTCTCTGTGCCTCTCTGAGGGGGGTCCAGGTTCCGGCTCTGGTTCTCAGTTGGCAGGACTCCATTGACTGAAGCCCCAGACTAATATAGTGTATATAAGTCCTATAACTCCAGGGAGCCGAAGGAGCTCCCCCACAGAAAATGGCAATTGAAAAAATGGGTACAGTAATACCATTTCTGTAGAAAACTGACCTGTTATTAACTATCAGGAGATATCAATATCCAACTGTTACACAGTACAGTATACCTGGTTGATTACCTGGTTGATGGGGTTCTGGGAGTTCTTCTACTCCCCAAGCCCGGCCCGAGGCCAGGCTTGACTTGTGAGAGTTTGGTCCACCAGGCTGTTGCTTGGAGCGGCCAACAGGCCCACATACCCACCACAGCCCAGTTGGTCCGGCACTCCTTGGAGGAATAAATCCAGTTTCCTCTTGAAAATGTCCACGGTTGTTCCGGCAATATTTCTTATGCTTGCTGGGAGGACGTTGAACAACCGCGGACCTCTGATGTTTATACAGTGTTCTCTGATTGTGCCTATGGCACCTCTGCTCTTCACTGGTTCTATTCTACATTTTCTATTCTACATTCATTACAGTATATACAAATATTATAACTTTGCATTTGGTGGAGTGGCATCATCTTCCTCAAGGGGTTTGTAGGTCCAAGCATATGCAGGTAATTTGTCATGCTCTGTATAAAAATATAAATAAATAAAGAACATATTAGGTGGCACATAAAGAAACAAAAATAAGAAAGAATAAAAACTTAAAAAAAAGGTAACATACACTACATTAGTACTTTATTTATACAATAAAATTAAGAATAAAAATTAAAAACCCAGTACAGTACTGTATTTAAAAAATAATTTCTTTAATTTACTTTTCTGATAGGGAGAGGGGGGGGGATGAGCCTCTTGTGGCTCCCTGAAGCTACTAAACAGAGGAACCTCGGTTAACAAATTTAATCCATTCTGGCTTGTGGAACGGCACCGAGTGCCGGAACTGCACTCGGTGCCGCCCCTCCTAGTCCTTCCCCCTGTTGTTCATTCGATTCCCCCCTCCCTTGCTTCTGGCTTCGAAGCGTCTGAGGTTTTGGAGTTGGGGCAGGGTCAAGTTGGTGTTGAGACTCGGGCGGTCTCGGGGGTGTCCCCTTCTGGAGTTGTGGCGGAGGCATTTGAGCCTGGTCCTTCAGCCAGAGCTTCTGGGTCTAACCAGTGGGCCCCCTTCGTTCCTGCTTTTTTGGCGGCGCCCGCTCTTTCTTTAGAAGTGGGGGTTTGGAGGCCGGCTCGGCCACTGGTCCTCAGGGGGAGGTTCCTGGGGCTGGGGAGGGGTTGACTTGGGGGGGCCTTGGGCCCCATTGGACCTCACCTGGGATTTTCTGCCCGCAGAGAGGGGCTTAGTGTTACAAGGAGAGGGGGTTCTCTTTCACTCCCTCTGTGTATGAATTGGATTTGGTGTCTACCCATCCCCAGGTTCGGTTCCGTGATCCCGCGGGTTCCTCGGTTCTGTCTTTCCGGAGGTTTTCGGCTTCCCGTATTTCGTCTTCTAAGGTGGGAAGCCCTTGTAGCTTACCTCCTGCACGACCCGGATTATGCTTTCATGATGGATCTGCGTTCCTTTGTGTACAGTTCGTCCTGTCCGTACTGGGTTCATTATGAAGTTCCGGAGTCCTCCTGGTTGATAGACTGTCCCTTTTTTTCAGTAGAAGCTTGGCACACGTTCTGTCAGTCCCGCACTCTTGACTGGCTGGAGACTCGGACGGCATTTCAGGTTTTCCTGGGGGGCGACTTAAAGCACCTCAATGCTTGTTTGTTCGTCCCTGCCCTTCCACGGGATGTTGGTGTTGTGCAGCTTCACCTTCCCTTTTGGCTGCCTTGGTTGCGGAGGATTTGGGTACTCGTGGCCTGCTTGCTTCAGCCCTGCGGTTCTTTTCCCCCCTTGAGCAGTCCTCGGATGGGCTTGAGTTGGATGTGGGGGAGCTAGGGGCTACTGCCGGGTCTGGGGTGCTGCCCTTTATGGTGCAGGCATCGTCTGCTTTGTTGAAGCTCTTCACGCCACTCCTGCATGATGCGGTTTCGCAGTTCTGTGCTTCTCGCCTCGCAAGTCTGCAGGCGGTGCTTGCTTCTTCCTTGGAATCTGCTTGGGGCGCTGGCTCTTCAATTGTCTTCGCCTTTTTGTCCTTTGCTGTTTGTGGAGTCTGCGGTGGTGCAGTACCTGCACGCGGCTTTGGTTAGTTGTCGACCTATGTTTGACTTGTTGGTGCTCCTGAGGGCTCGTGGGGGTGCTTTCCCAGAAGGGTCGTGCCAGGGCTCGGGGTTCTGTTCGTCATGGTAGGCCAGTGGTGCCAGATTCGGGGCAGGCGCAGCCTTTGGTTCCGTCTGTTTCTGGTCGGCGCGGGGATCACCCTGTTCGCCACTCAGGTTCTCAGAAGGTGCATTGGCCCTTTCACAGTTCGTCCCATTGACGGGGCGATGGGAAGTAGGCTCGCCCTGTTTGCTTGCGCCTGGTTATCTTGAGGTTATCTTGAGATGATTTCGGGGCTTAGCATCCCTGCGGCCCGGTTCTCGACCAGGCCTCCTTTTTATTACACATTCCCAGGAAGCAGCCCGTAGGAGCCATCTAACTCCCAGGTACCTAGTTACTGCTAGGTAACAGGGGCATCAGAGTGAAAAAAACATTTTGCCCATTTGTCTTCGCCTCCACCGGGGATCAAACCTGGAACCTCAGGACTACGAACCCGAAGCGCTGTCCACCCAGCCGTGAGGCTGGTCCCACGATTCGTGGATCTTTCGGGTCGTTTCGTGCAGCCAGTGTTGGGGTTGGGTGGCCCCTCCTCCCTCAGGGGGTTTGGGGCTGATGGGGCAGGCCTCTTCTCCTGCGCTCTGTCAGGTCATCTTGGAGTGGGTTCGCTTGGGCGTGGTCGAAACGACCTTGTCCCTCAGGTGGGTTTCCCACCTGTTTCTAGTCCCGAAACGGGACTGCATGGACCTTCGGTTCATTCTGGACTTGTCCCATTTGAACCCGTGGGTTTATTGCCCCTCCTTCAGGATGACTACTCTGTCCCAGGTCCGTCTTCTGTTGGAGCCGGGAGCTTGGATGGTGTCCCTGGACCTCAAGGATATGTATTAGCCCGTCCCGGTTCATCCGAGGTTCAGGGACTGGCTCGGTTTTGTTGTGGGGCTCAGGGTTACCGCATTCGTTCTTCCCTTTGGGTTGCATCTGGCGCATCACGTTTTCAGACTCCTTACTCGGGTCGTGGTGGCCTGTCTTTGTCTGATAGGTGTTCAGGTTCTGGCTTACCTTGACAACTGGCTGGTTTGGGCTCCCAACCAGTCTGCGTGTCTACTCGCCAGGGATTTGGTTCTTTCCCAGCTCGCCGGGTTTGGGTTCTTGGTGAACTGGAGGATGTCCCATCTGGTTCCCTCTCAGGTTCGATCTTGGCTGGGGTCTGGTTTGGGACACTCGTACCGCTTCCTTGTCTCTTCCTCCTGCGGCTCTGCTCCGTCTGCGTTCTCGCCTTCGTCTGTTTCTGAGGGGCTTGCAGGTCACGTGTCAGTTGCTCGAGAGTTTGTGCGGGAGCCTGAACTTTGCCATGATGGTCTATCCGCCGGGTCGGGTGTGGTTTCTTTGGCTGTTCTGGTTCCTTCGAGGACGGCCCTTCCGCCTCTCTCACGATCGTTGGGTTTGGCCTCCAGAGGGCTTTGCATCGGTTGCTGCGTCGCCGGCTTCCTCTTCGGGTTTTTTGGGGTTCAATGCCTTGGCGCCTACCTAAGCCCTCACTTGATGTGTACACAGACGTGTTGTCTCTTGGCTGGGGTTTTGTGACCAGTGCTCACTAGTGCTCGCAGTGCTCGCCAGGGGCGGTGGGGTCTGTCCTTCCATCAGGCTCACAGCACGATCAGGGAGTTCTCGGCAGTGTGGATGTCACTCCGGAGGGTTCGAGTTGCTCGCGGATCGATGATCCGGCTCCATTCGGACTGCTCCCTGGTGGTTCATTGCCTGAACCGAGGGGGTTCGATGCATTCCTTGGCTCTTTGGGGCTGGTCGCTTTGGGTGACTTGTCTGCTGAGTTCTCAAGGTTTGGCTCTCCTGGCGGTTCACATCCTGGGGTGTCCAACGTTCTGGCAGACGGCCTGTCTCGTTTCCTTCCCCTTTCCACAGAATGGTCGGTCGACGCTGACTCCTTCAGTTGGGTTTGCCAGATGTTCAGGACTCCGGACGTGGATCTCTTCACGTCATTGTGGTTGAGGCGTCTCTTCGTATACATGGCGCCCTTCCCCGACTGCAAAGCCGTCGGGGGTCGACGCCTTCAGGCAGGACTGGGCGAGGAGGGGTTACCTGTACTTCTTTTCCCCCAATTCAGCTGTTGCTACATGTCCTGGCTCGCTTGGAGACTTACCAGGGAAGAGTTTTCCTTCTGGCTCCTTGGTGACCGGCCCACCCTTGGTTTCAGGCGCCGCTTGCCTCGGTGCCCGGTGGCGTTATCTTCTGACTGTGTGTGGCCACCTTTTATTGACTGCACTCACCATACCAGCTTTGTGGTTCGCTATGGTGAACACAAATGTAGATACTTATATATAACGTGTATATAGAAGGTATAAACAGCAAGAGGAGTAAGTTGGGAGCTGCCATTTTGGTGAGGGAGGAGCGTCATCTGCAGGACTTACCATGTTGTTTACTGATGACCACGAGGTCTTTGGGCACCATACCAGTTTACTTGTACAAGTATGGTGAATAAAACAGGTAGATATTTATATATAATGTGTGTATATAGTGTAATAACACCACAAACAATATTGTTGGAGGAGAAATATTAGTGCGTCTGGCCTTGAGGGCGGCAGCCATCAGCTGACTGTGTGAGGTCCTACATCATTGTGCCTTTACTCACCATACAAGCTTAGATGTACAGTTATGGTGAACAAAACATGTAAATACTTATATATAACGTCTGTATATAAAAGCAAAAACAGTATGGTGGGTGGAGAATGGTGGCAAGTCAGGTGAGGAGAGGGAGGGAGGGAGTGGCAGCCAGTGGCGGGCTGCCACTGCCACTCAGCATACCAACTTAGTGGTTCGATATGGTGAACACGAATGTAGATACTTATATATAACGTCTGTATATAGTGAATAAAAGCAAAAACAATATTGTGGGAGGAGAATGTGGTTGAGTCAGGTGACTTGAGGGAGGGCATGAGTGGCTGGCTGGTACACGGCGGTCACTCCTCGTTACTTTTTGACTCATAATAGCAACTTAGTGGTTCGTTATGGTGAACACGAATGTAGATACTTATATATAGCGTCTGTATATAGTGAATGAAAGCAAAAACAGTATTGTGGGAGGAGAATGTGGGTGAGTCAGGTGACTTGAGGGAGGGCGCGAGTGGCTGGCTGGTACACGGCGGTCACTCCTCGTTACTTTTTGACTCATAATAGCAACTTAGTGGTTCATTATGGTGAGCAATACATGCAGATACTTATATATAACCTGTGCTTATAGTGTAATAACCGACAAAGTATTTGTTCACTGTTTGATGAACATAATTGAATCAACAATATGCACACCATATTTTTGAGTACAGCGATGATTCACTCATTTTATTATATAAATATATCATACTACTCACTATTGAATAATATTACAGCAAAAAAAACTACGAAAAATCAATCAGACATTGAAATAATTAGGTAATTATCTCTTTGTGGCAACTCCGGCCTGACAGCTGGCGATCAACAGACCGCCTGGGACGAATGCTGAGCCAGCACATATATTTTGCCAGAATTTCCCGCCCTATAGCGGGCAATATATGCCACTTACGATTTTTTTTATTATTTTTCCCGTGATCAGCGAACACAAATTAACAGGTTAGGAAGAAAAAATATATATATTTTTTTGTATGCACCTGTGGGTGTCAAATGGTATATAGCTATGTGCCATTTAAGGGTTAAACCACACAGGGGTTTCCATATCCATTGCTCCTTGTGCCTCTGAAGAGGCCAGGTTTTGGCTCGTGGTCCCCAGTAGGCCTAGAACCCCATGTGCATTGACTGATGCCAGGGTCTAATACATTCATATCAGCCTGGTTAGCTTTGGGGGAGGGGGGGGAGCTTGGGGGAGCCGAAGGGGCTCCCCCAAGTAACGAATGGGAGTTGCAGAGAATCAGGGAAGTGTTATATTTAAGTGCTTCCACCTGGTGGTGGTCTGAGACTGAAGGTGGGCAGGCCAACTAGTGATTAGTGAGAGCACATCTTAGCATTCTCAGTAATGTGAAATGTACTTGGAAGGATTTTCAGTTTACTTGAATGAGCCTTCTAAAGGTCAGTCTGGAGTGTAAGTATTCTCCAATATTTTCCTAGATGCATGATCCTGTCCATGGGTCTAGCAAGACTTTGTCTAAAGACGCCACTGGATAGAATAGTTCAGAAAGGTATTTGTACTTAATAGTGCTGATGTTGACCCTCAGAGCAACCCTGATGAAAAGCATTTTCACTATAATATATGTAGCTACATATAATTTTCAAGAAGTGTACAGTAAAATTCTACACATAACTTGGATATTATTTTGTAGTAAATATGTCATGAGCTGACCTGGAATATTCCACATGAGATTAGAGTAAAGACTACCACCTCCATCAATCTTGAGAGTTTCACCAGTAATGAATGATGCTCCAGGGGACAACAGGAAGCATACTGCACTTGCCACCTGTAAAACAAAACAAAATAAAGCATTAACTGTAATAAATGACCTTTAGAGCTTTCAGTAGATTGTGCTCTTATGAAACTTAGCCTTCAGAAATGCACAAGTCCTACGAGACACACGGCCCAGATGGGAGTTTCATCATGGGTTCTGAGAGAATGTGCACCTCAGCTCAGCATTCCACTTCAATTGATTTTTCAGGCATCCTTGTGTATAGGAGTTCTAACAGATATGTAGAAAAAAAGCCAACATAGTTCCAATCTACAAAAGTGGTAGCAGGGATGATCCCCTTAATTACAGACCTGAATCACTGACAAGTATAATAGTTTAAATATTGGCAAAATAATTAAAACTAGATGGATAGAACACCTGGAGAAAAATGATATAATAACAGACAGACAGTATGGTTTTTGACCTGGAAGATCCTGTGTAATGAATTTACTCAGTTTCTATGATAGAGCCACAGAGATTTTATAGGAAAGAGATGGTCGGGTTGACGGAACTGCATTTAACTGGACCTAAAAAAGGCTTTCGACAGAGTTCCACATAAGAGATTGTTCTGGAAACTGGAACATACTGAAGGAGTGACAGGAAGGCATCTAACATTGATGAAAACTGAAATTTTTTCTGACAAAAAAACCAGCGTTGAATACAGTGAGGCCTCGATTTACGATGGTAATCCGTTCCCAGAGACGTATCGTAAGTCAAAATATCACAAGTCGAAGCGAATTTTCCCCATAAGAAACAAAGGGAATTGAATTAATCCGTTTCTCACTCTCCAAAATATTAACTAATAAATACATTTTATACTGAATACAATTTTCTTCTCTCAGTACAATACAGTACATGTGTTTATCTTACCTTTATGGAGGACTCTTGATGACATACGGAAGTTGGTTATGAGAGGGGAGGAGGAGAGGTGTTAGTGTTTGGGAAGGGAAGTCCCCTTCCATTATAACATCAGGCAGTGATGACTTTTCTGGGGTACACTCTCTGGCACGTTTTGCCTGCATACCACTAGGACCAGCTTGTGGCTCACTGCTTGCTTGTCTTACTAAGAATCTGTCTAAAGACACTTGTTTTTCCCTACATTTTAACACTTGTCTGTAGTGAGACATCACATTGTCATTTAAAGGTCAATGCAATGGCCTGCTACAGCTGTATCTGGGTGAGGTTTTTCAACAAAACTTTGCAGTTCTTCCCATACTTCACACATTTTCTTAATGAAGAAGAGACATTCTCTACTGCCTCTACTCACAACTATTTTCATAGGTTGAACCTTACCACTGACTTTCTTGGGACCCATGGCGTGTGTCACAGTAAAATCTCTAGGAAGATATCCGGCCTGCTCCATCATCACCTATTCTATCATATCACGTATATATATTCAAGAAATTCCAGCCACAACAATAACAACAACAACTACTTTCCAGACGTCTAGACAATACCACCGGTCTCCCCCCTACACCACTGCCCGTCATCCCACCTCACCTGGGTCACTGGGAGCTCACGCCATCTCAAACAACCAGCGTTGAATGTAATGAAACTCCATTTTCTGGGTGAGCCCCGGAGGCTCCTTGGAGGTTATTGGGATAATGTATGTTATATTAGACCGGGACATTAGCTAATTAGTTCAGACCTACCAGGGACCAGCGCCAGAACCTGGCCCCTTCAGAGAGGTTTTAGGGAGCAATGGCCCTAGAAAACCCCTTTGTGGTTGGGGTTTTCCTTATCTGCCATCAACCGGGGTCAGGCACCTAGATAGGTAGACATAACAAAACAAACCCCACATGATAAAAAACTAAAACAAAAAACCGAAGAGAGGTAAAAACTCCCTACAATCACAAGGAAACAAGCAAACATCACACTTTACTGCCGCGCCGATCGTCCGCGCAGCCCTCCCCGCCCCAAGAGGGGGAGGGGGGAGCCCCGGACCTCCGGGGCTCACCCAGAAAATGGCGTTTCATTACATTCAACGCTGGTTTTTCTGTGAGCTTCATACCCAAAGAGAAGGAAAAAAAAGGGCTAACAAAGGAGGCGGCCGCCACAAACTCTGCAACGCAAAGCCGAGACAACAGGTCGCAACCTGCGACCCAAGGCAACAAGAACGCACAGGAGCAGACGTGCATAAAGAATGGGTGGCCAAGAACCTGTGCGACCCTCAAATCCCTACGCCCAAAATGAGCCCTAGATGTCTCCAACACAGCAGCAAAAGCTGCAAACATCTGAACAGCACGGGCGCAAAGACAGACCGCAGGCGGGAAGAATGAAAAACTGTGCGGACGACCTGGGAGACCCAAGCCCTGAAAACAGGGAACAAGGGAAACCGGATCAACCACAGCGCATCCCCAGACACGGTACTCAGGCAACGGCAAAAAGCACAACCGGACAACACAGGAGGCACCCCCGGCCAAACCAATCAAGCATCAATAACCCAAGAACCCCTCCGGAAAGCAGCCGTCTCGACCGTCGCCAGGACGGAGAAAGGCTACACAAGTACAAATGTTCCACCAGTACCAAAGAGCAGAAACCTGAACCGAAAGGGCTACCACAAACTGAGAAGATAAGAAGGTACCCCGATGAAGGACCAGGACGGCTCAGGCGACGCATGAGCAGGCCGGAGGTGAAACAACATGAGAAAGTGTACGAAACGTCATACTGTCACCAAGACGAAGCTCGCAGGTGGGACACTGTCAACAAAGCCACCCGAACACCACAGAGATGGTGATACCCGCGTCAAAATACCAGATGCGAAGAGCCGAGGAGAAGGCCGAACCAGTCACGTACAGGACCGATTCGACCTGCCAAAAGAGGCGGAGCCGCGGGAAAACGCCCCGGGTTCAGACACCTATCAAGCAGCGTTTGAAAATAAGGCTGGGCCGGCCACCAAAGAACCATAAGGAATGCTCTCGTGGGAATGGGCTGCAACCGAGCCAGAACCCGAAGCAACAGCTGGACCGGGAGAAGAGGAACAGGTACCCCCACCTCGACCAGTCCTGCCGAAAAGCATTCACCGTGAATGCCTCGCAGGTGGGAAAGGGCGCCACATAAAATGGGTGACTCCTAGACCACGCAGACTCGAAGACGTCCACGGCCTGGAGTCCATACGTCTGACAGAGCCAACAAAACGAGTCGGCGACGACTGGCCAATCCGCGAAGAGAGGAATGAACTGGAACAGCTGTCCGCCAGGACGCAGGACACCCCCCCCGGACATGAACTTCACGGTTAGACAAACCCCTGTGGTTCTGGCAAGAACCGCCAGAGAACAGTCCGAACAGAGCTGAATGGTAGAGCACCGAGTGCCCCAAACCCTCCGAAGCGCAAACCAGACAGCCACGAACTCCCGAACCGTGCTGTGAGCCCGATGGATGGACAGATTCCACCAACCCCGGCCAACCTGGTGAGCACTGGTCACAAAGCCCCAGCCGAGAGATGACCCGTCCGTGAGCACATCGAGTGAAGACTCGGGGAGGTGCCAAGGCACAGAACCCCAAAAACCCCAAAGAGGAAGCTGGTGATGCAGCACCAACACAAGATCCCCGGAGGAACGAACCCAACGAATGCAAGAGGCAGAAGGGGAGTCTCCGAAGGAACCAAACAGACGCTGAAGTCAAACCCGACTCCGCAGGCAAACCAGCACGTTGAAGTTCAGACTCCCGCACAACTGCTCAAGCATCTGCTGAGCAACCCGGGACCCCCTCAAGTACAGCCGAAGGCGGGACCACAGCTGCAGTAACACTTCTGGAGGGAAAGACAACGAGTGGCCCAATAGCCCTAAACAAGGCCCAGGTCCAAACCCGGGACGGAAACAGATGGAATGGCCTCCAGATCACCAGGAAACCAAACCCGGCGATCTGGAAAGAACCACACCCCTGGCGAGCAGACAAGCGGACTGACTGGGAGCCCACACCAGCCAGTCGTCGAGGTAGGCCAGACACCGAATCTCAGACTCAGACAGGGCACTAAGATCCGGTAAAGATGCAAAAAATTATATATACCAAGTGCCCATTACAAAATAGGGAAGGCAACAAAAGCAGCAAGCCTGAAGCCCCACCACCAACTGTGCCAGTCCCAGAAAACTGGAGAGGAACGTGCCAAGCAGTGACCTGCAGGTCCAGGGCCACCATCCAGGCACCCGGCCCCAACAGTCCTCCGAGGAAGGCATAGAATCCAGGGCGCAGACTGAAGAAGTCCAGAAGAACTGCAGATGTGAAAGACCCACGACTGCAAAGAGCAGACGGGAACCCCAGAAGGATGGGGCGGATCGACCACGTCCAACGCACCCAAGAAGATGACATGACGAAGCGCAGGGGAAGAAGCCCACCCCGCCAGCTGTGAACCCCCCAAAGGGAGAGAAGCCGTCTACCAATGCCACCAGAGGCCGGAAGACAACCAAAAGCGCCCACCAGCAGCGGGACCATGCGAGAGGCAACAGAGCAAGCTGCTCCCCCAGCGCCCCGTCAACAGAGAAGGGAACAGAACCCCTTCTGAAAGAAAAAGTACACACACATATACACATTATGTATATACACATACATATACATATGCACAAACACACAAGATATGTTACACACGTGTGTATACACATGTGCACACACACACACACAGCGTACACATGTACATGCGTACACACACACATTGTAAAAGAAAAGTACAAGTCGCCGACCAGTGGGAAGAGAGCACCACGCTGGCCAGGCAAAGAAGACACAAAACTGCATCAAAAGGCCCACCTCGACAGCAAAACCGCAAAGTCCCAGCACGACCACAACATGTGCCAAGACCCAAAAAGATCAGTCTGCAAGCCAGGAAGACCCCGGAACCCCAGAAGGCAGAACCGGGTCACACGAGGAAACAAAGCCCCCTGAACCCACAAAGGGGGCCCAAGAGGAAGAAACCTCCGGAACGAAACCAAAGAACCCAAAGGACCCCAGAATCGAACCAGGGGGAGCCCAGACCCAAAACAGACAAAATGGAAAACCCGGTGTAAAATCAACACCCAAACGTTCCCAGAGGAACAGGCAATGGGCAGAAAACACCAGAAAAGCAAAGAAACGACAACAGGAGAATAAAAAACCCTGAAAAAAGGTGAAAACTCACCCAAGAAGCTCGCTCGCACACCCGGTCGCATGTAAACAAACCGCAACACCGCCCTGGTGGCCACGCCGTGAAACCGGCAGACAAAAATGGCCGCCAGCAGGGGCTGTGACTGACGCTAAAGATACAAAAACACGCCAGCAAAAGTGGGAAGCAAGCAGACTGGATGGGCGAAAAACGCCGCCCAACAGCAGAAAACCCCGGCAGGGGCAAACCGCCCCAGAACTGCTAGCAGGCATCCCCCACAGCCCCAGGAACCAACAACAGAGACCCCGGGGCAGAGCCGTCCTCCAAGCCCTCCGCCCTTAACATTTTGGCGCACCCCGCTCGCCACCCCTCAACTGTGCGATATGGGACCCAGGGTGTCACGGGAGTGCGGGTAAATTCTGAAAAGTGTATACTCTCTTCAACTTTGTCACCTTAATTCTCATCCTACGAGATTAAATTTGGTATCATTGTGTTCGCAATAGAATTCTCTACAGCACTAAATGCATATAAACTCCAAAAGCCCGGCTAATTACCCGCAGCAAACAGAGAAAGTGCGAACGAGTTACCCAGGAGCGCGCAAACGCGATAAAATGTTTTCACTATTTTCACTCCTCTCCTCATATCAAACTAAATTCACTAAATGACATGACAATTAAAATTTGCATTTAACTCTCATTGTTACTAGTTATACTGAGGAAAAGTATGGCTACATTTAAGCAAACGATGACAATCTTGGTGATTTGTTTAGCATATAAAAATGTGTCATGCGACTTAAAGCAATGAGGAGAGAAGTTTGAGGAAGGAAATGCCATACAATAACATGTGTTGATTTGGAACATATACAGGTTGGTGACCAAACTATTCTGTATCATTAGGAATAAAGTCAATGTGTCAAGAAATGTTTTATGACCATTCCTTCATTTGGCTCGATATTTGTGAATCAGTTAAGTTTTTATGATAAGCAAGTGAGAATACAGTCTGTATTAAAACAGTAATACAGTATACTGTTACACCTTTAAAAATACCAACCTCTTGCGGTGTTCCAAGCCTTTTTGTTGGAATGTGGACACGAACTTTTTCAAAGATGTTGCCATCTCCATAGTTTGCAGCCGCTGTAGGAGAGTAAATGGAGCCTCCTGGTGCCACTGAATTTATTCGCACTCCATTGGAGGCCCATTCTACTGAAAGACTCTGAATTGAGGTGATAAGAATCAGAAGATGCTTAAATTTAATAAATATTGTAAATATGACTGAATTATGTTTGGGAAATTGAGAAAGGTATTGCTGAGGCAGCATCTCTCTCTCATCATAAAATTGGCCTATCACCACTAACCCCAAGTATTTTATGAAAACAGATTAAACAAATCTAAAAGAAAATTGTTAAAGAACATTGGAAATATACTCTTATACAGTATCTTAGTATCCAACCAACACTCATATTACACACATATGAAACTTACCTAAGATGGTAAAACCTCGGCAGCAGTCTTCCAAACAGTTACTGTATTCAAGATCAACCAGAGCTAACATTATCAGAAATAGCCTAGTCAGAGACAACTCTTAATACACATCTTATCTGCAACTGTCTTACTTCACCATTCCTATTACCAATCACTTTCTCAGATACAATATTTCCAAAATACACATCCAATGCCAGTCAGAAATACAGTTGCAGAAATACAATGGAGAGGCCTCAGAAGGGGTCAGCTGAAAGGAATACCCCAAAACCTCAGTGGGACCAGCCAGCTCAACTGCCTCTGTGCCCAAAGTGGAAGGAGTTACCCCGCGAGATGGCCGAGCCACATCCCGAGCTAAACCCTGCCCCAACCTGGAAACCCTTGGATTCTTGGAGTCAGAAGCAGGTCATACTACTCCCGAAGGGGCAAGGAAGAGGCGGTGCAGACAGAGCCAAGGTGGAAGCCACCAACACCTCTAACTCTGGATCCCTAAACACAAGGTGGGCCAGCTCTGACATCCAAACAAGACATAACCTAGACTCCTGAAGGCAGGCAAAATGTACCCGCAAAATAGAAGCTGCCTGATACTCTTGAACTTCATCTACACGGTCTGAGAAAGAAAGCCAAATAGGAAAAGCAAACCCCCCCACAGGACTTGGAATCACAGGAGTCTCAAACCCAGCAGAAAGCATGGCAGAGGTAAAAAGAATGATCGTTGCTCTGTGGCATGGATGACAAACAGCCCTCAAACTCACACAGAGTGAGAACAAGTTTTAAGGAAATACCCATAAGCAACACCAAACCCATGGGGAATTACAAGGGCCATAAGGGTAAACCAAATTGGACACCCAGGCACTGGGGATGCTATGCTGGACCTAAAAGTAAGCCGACATAGCCCAGGCTACACGGATGTGAAGGCCGACCTCGACGTGCTGTAAGTACAGGGCTGAGACACGAGCAACAAGACCCAAGACGAGTATCCTCTCCTCGCAAGTGGAATGGACCGGAATGAAAGGGAGGGAGTTCCAGAACACACCAGAGAAGAGAACTCTCTCAGTGCAGGGCAGCACTAGGGAGCACACAGAGAAGATAGTCCTAAGCACATACAGCTCTAAGTGCTCTAAAAGCCAGGTCCACTTCCAATGGTTCAAAACAATTGACAACAAAAAGCCACACAGGACAAAGTCTAAGAAAGGCTGGCACTCTGCTGAAAAGCACTGGGACCTGCCATGGCTTGCAGCTTGCAGATGATCTGGGACCCTTACAGCAGATGTTGTTTCCAGTCTGCATGAGCAACACAACTGATGGCATTAGCCAGTGGACAACGGGAGCCCTGGCTCCCCTCCACAAACAACAACTACACGGCAGTGAGGAGAGAAGCAGAAAGAAATTTTGAAAAAGGGATTGCAGACAAATGTAAAACAGAACCAGGTCTATTCTATAAATTCATAAACAACAAATTACAGGTAAAGGATAATATTCAGAGGTTGAAAATGGGAAATAGATTCACGGAAAATGAAAAGGAAATGTGTGAAACACTAAACGAAAAGTTCCAAAGTGTGTTTGTACAAAATGAAATCTTTAGGGAACCAGACACAATAAGAATTCCAGAGAACAACATAGAGCACATAGAGGTGTCTAGAGACGAGGTGGAAAAAATGCTCAAGGAGCTAAGTAAGAACAAAGCAGTTGGTCCAGATGGAGTTTCACCATGGGTTCTGAGAGAATGTGCACCTGAGCTCAGCATTCCACTTCAAATGATTTTTCAGGCATCCCTGTGTACAGGAGTTGTAGCTGATGTGTGGAAAAAGGCTAACATAGTTCCAATCTACAAAAGTGGAAGCAGGGAAGACCCCCTTAATTATAGACCTATATCATTGACAAGTGTAATAGTCAAAATATTGGAAAAAATAATTAAAACTAAATGGGTAGAACACCTGGAGGAAAATGATATAATATCAGACAGACAGTATGGTCTTCGATCTGGAAGATCCTGTGTAATGAACTTGCTCAGTTTTTATGATCGAGCCACAGAGATTTTACAGGAAAGAGATGGTTGGGTTGACTGCATCTATCTGGACCTAAAAAAGGCTTTCGACAGAGTTCCCCATAAGAGGTTGTTCTGGAAACTGGAACATATTGGAGGAGTGACAGGTAAGCTACTACATGGATGAAAAATTTCCTAACCGACAGAAAAATGAGGGCCGTAATCAGAGGCAAGGTATCGGATTGGAGGAATGTCACGAGTGGAGTACCACAGGGTTCAGTTCTTGCACCGGTAATGTTCATTGTCTACATAAATGATCTACCAGTGGGAATACAGAATTACATGAACATGTTTGCTGATGATGCTAAGATAATAGGGAAGGTAAGAAACCAAGATGATTGCCTTGGCCTTCAAGAAGGCCTGGACAAAATAAGTATATGGAGCAATACTTGGCAAATGGAATTTAATGTGAATAAATGCCATGTTATGGAATGTGGAATTGGAGAACATAGACCCCACACAACCTATAAATTATGTGAGAAATCTTTAAAGAATTCTGACAAAGAAAGGGATCTAGGGGTGGTTCTAGATAGAAAACTGTCACCCGAGGACCACATTAAGAACATTGTGCGAGGAGCCTATGCTACACTTTCTAACCTCAGAATTGCTTTTAAATACATGGATGGCGAAATACTAAAGAAATTGTTCACGACTTTTATTAGACCAAAGCTGGAATATGCAGCGGTTGTATGGTGCCCATATCTTAAGAAGTACATCAACAAACTGGAAAAGGTGCAACGACATGCCACTAAGTGGCTCCCAGAACTGAAGGACAAGAGCTACGAGGAGAGGTTAGAGGCATTAAATATGCCAAAACTAGAAGATAGAAGAAAAAGAGGCAATATGATCACTACTTACAAAATAGTAACAGGAATCAATAAAATTGATAGGGAAGAATTCCTGAGACCCGGAACTTTAAGAACAAGAGGTCATAGATTTAAACTAACGAAACAAAGCTGCCGGAGAAATATACGAAAATTCACTTTTGTAAACAGAGTGGTAGACGGTTGGAACAAGTTAAGTGAAAAGGTGGTAGAGGCCAAAACCGTCAGTAGCTTCAAAGCATTATACGACAAAGAGTGCTGGGAAGACGGGACACCACGAGCGTAGCTCTCATCCTGTAACTACACTTAGGTAATTACACTTCGGTAATTACAAACTAATGTAAGTGGTGAGGCAAACGAGCGCATGCTTGTTTCATGAGGTTCGCTTGTTTGTTTACATTGTTGGGGGGAGTTTGTTTGAAGGTTTAGAGGCTTCAGTCTTTTTGAAGCCAGCAGGTAGTCTGTACTGGTTCACTGACTTTTTAGACGCTCTCCCGTTGGGGTGATGGAGCTTCAACTTGCTCTCTGCACCTTTGTGAGGAGGGCCAGGTTCTGACTCTGGTCCACAGTAGGCCAGACAGAACTAGTAGATGGAAGACATCTCTCTAGATAGCTTCAGGGAGCCATAAGGGGGTTCCCCTCCAGAAAGCAAGTGACGTGAAATGGCCCTTTCTGAGCAGCATTTTGATAGCTTCCCATTTCTGCCCTTTAGGTTGTGTCTTGCATGATAATTTGGTGGGTGGGGCATAGAGTGGGTTTATCTACCTTCCTTGGCCTTCATATGCGCTGGTGCTCCCATTAGTAGTAGATGCAAAAGTTAATCAGTGTTGTTTTCAATACTTCAGTATGCTCAAGGTGATTCTTGGTGGCTTAAGTGTGCTTGGAGTAAGAAAAAAAAATTCACATTATTCTAAACTGTGTGTCATAGTGAAGGGGGCTCTCACATTTTAGATTGAGGTATACTTTCCACTGACCTCTCAGTTATGTTAATAATTTCAATAAGACTATTTGCAAAGATGCTTGCCTTCCTGGGACTAGTCACTCAAACATTTGCAGATAGTCAATATTGTGAGAGGTTTAGTGTGTAAGATTAGGGCAACTACAATATTCCCACTCAAAAGATGGCTTTTCACTTCACACAATGCTTTACTTTGAACTCAAGTAGAGGCTCTTCTTTATTCAAAAGTTAAATCTATAACTTCTCAAGGCACCAATAACATGCTGCACTTCTATATATCTTACACACACATTATTTTTAACCTGTAAACATCAATATTTACACGTATAGAGGTAAAATGCTGCAAGTTCACTTGGAGGAGGCAATGGGCAAATGTTCAGATGTAGCCAAAAATAAATTAGAAAATACCTTAGTTAAGTTGTCAACTCCTGCTCGAGCTGCTCCTGTGTGAGCTAACATTGGCATGCCACGGAACATGTCGGCAATGACGTTAACAATCACTCCACCGTTGTCCCTCATCCACTGATCATAAACTGACAAAATAAGGACAAATTACACAACATACATCTAGAAGAGAATATTGCACCATTGATAATATAAGCAATAAAAGAAACTACTGCAGAAGCAAAGCTAATGCTGTAAGAGACAAATAAATTGAATTCCGCCAACCTAAATCTTTGAGTACTGTAATCCGAACGAATTCCTGTTTGAGTTCTTGACTTTTTAACCTGAATAGAAATTTGGATTAAAAGGTGAAATTCAGCGTATTGGTAACAATTCAGTTATAAACACTTCATAATTTTTACTCCCAAAGTTCAAATAAATTTTACATGTAGGCATTGACCAAAATGTGTGTCGGCAGGGAAATGTGTGTCGGTGGTTCAGACAATGAACCACTGGGGAGCCATCTGAAAGGAGCCGGATCATCGATTTGCGAGCGATGCGATCCCTCTGGAGCGAAAGCCACACGGCCGCAAATTCCCACACTGTGCTGTGAGCCCAACGCAAGGACAGACCTCCACCGACCCTGGCTGGCCAGGCAAGCACTGGTCACAAAGCCCCAGCCAAGAGATGACGCATCCATCGAGCGAAGGCTCTGGTAGATGCCAAGGCACTGAACCCCGCAAAACCCGAAAAGGTAGCCGGCAACGCAGCAGCCGACGCAAAGCCCCGGAGTTTGAGCCCAGTGATTGCAAGAGTGGCCGGAAGGGGCATTTTCGAAGGAACCAGAACAGCTGCCAAAGTCAGATCCGACCCAATGGGTAGACCTGTGCGACGAAGTTCAGACTCCCACACTGTTGCTCGAACAACAGACGAGTGATTCGAGTGCCCTCCACAAACAGCCGACGGTGGGACCTCAGCTGCAGCAACACCGCCGGAGGGAGAAACAAGGAAGCCATCTGAGAGTCTCATGCAAAGACCCAGCCAAGTCTGAAGCTGAGAGTTAACCAAATGGGACTTCCTCCAGTTCACCAAGAACCTGAACCCGGCGAGCTGGAAAGAACCAAATCTGAGCAGACACGTGTACTGGCTAGAGGCCCAAACCAGCCAGTCGTCGAGGTAGGTCAGAATCTGAACCCCCTAGCAGACACAAACGGGCTATCACGACCCAGGTAAGGCGTGTGAAAATGAGAGGAGCCAGATTCAGGCTGAATGGAAAGCAACGAAAGTGGTAAGCACGCCACCCCACGATAAAACCGAGCCAATCCCTGAACCCCGGATGAATTGGGACGTGCCGGACCTGGGACAGAGTGATCTTCCAAAATGAGGGGCAAAAGACCCAGGGCTTCAGATGGGACAAGTCCAGAATGAACCTCAGATCTGCATAGTCCCATTTTGGCACTGGAAACAGGTGGGAAACCCACCTGAGGACGTCAATGTTTCGACCAAGCCCAAGAGTACTCACTCCAGGATGACTTGACCGAGCGCAGGAGAAGAGGCCTGTCCTGCCAGCCCTGAACTCCCAAAGGAGGATCCACCCAATGCCACCGGAGGCCGGAAGAAATGACCTGAAACACCCACGAATCATGGGACCAAACAGGGCAAACATTATAGGCAAACAGGGCGAGCCTCCCCTCCATCGTAAACGGTTCACCTCCGTAAACGGGGTGAACCGCAAAAGAGTCGATGACCCTTATGAGAGGTTGAACGACAGGCAGAGCAAGCCCTGCACCGACCAGAGGATGTTGGCTACGAAGGGGGGACAGGGCCCTGAATCTGGCACCACTGACCCACCACAACGAAAGGAAGCTACTTCCCCCCTTCCCCCCCACCCCCAACCCCCGGAGAAGCAAAAAGTCTGACATGGGACTGCAACTTGACGAAGCTGCTTGCAGATACTGCACAACCACAGACTCTGCAAACAGCAACGGACAAAAATGGGACGAAAATCTAAGAGCCAGTGCTTAAGTAGATTCCAAAGAGTGGGCGAGCACCGCCTGTCAGCACGCGATGCGAGAAGCAAAGAATAGAGACACTGCTTCCATTAGAATCGGCACAAACAACTTCAACAAGGCAGCTGACGCCAGAGCCATCGAGGCAACTGCACTGGCTGCAGTCCCGGAACCCAGCACTTCAACATTCTCCTCGTGCCAATCCGAAAACAGCTCAAGCAGGAAAAAGAAGCACAAAACCACAGCCAAATGCCCACGGGCGCGCAATTCCTCAGCCACCAAGGACACCAAAAGGGCGGGAACCTGCACATGAAGCTGTACCTGACCAACATCTTAAGGAAGAACAGGGGCAAACAAGTACACATTGAGGCACTCAAACTCACTCCCCAGGTAATCCTGAACCACCGTATTAGTTTCCCCGCCATTCAAGCATGCTGGTCCGAAAGAACGCATGCCATGCCTCCAACAAACAGAAAGGGCAGTCTGCCAATGAGGAAGACTCAGCATCTTGTAATGCACCCAGTAAGAAAAAGATGAACCAAACTCAAATGAAGAAGGATCCATTATCGAGATTCAATCCAGGTCTCGCAGAGGGTACGATGCAATAGCCTCCCTAACCTCCTTAGGCGGGATGCAGGAAGCTGAAAAACCTCTGGAAAGAGGGAACCAAAGAACCCAAGGGAACGCGGAACTGAACCCGGGAAAGAGCCGAACGCATATCAAACTTGTACAGGAAGGGGGGATAAGAAAACCTCTTCCCCTGCAACAACAAGCCCTGCACTGAAAGTACCAACACCCTAGCAGGATCAAACAGGGCCCCAAACCCCCCCAAGTCAACTCCTTTTCAGCCCTGGGATCCTTCACGGCAGGACCCGAGGCAGAGCCTTCCCCCAAAACCTCTGCCTCTGGAGAAAGGGTAGAGTCCACAGGTAAAGCAAGGAAAAAGGGGGCCTGCTAGTTCGACCCAAAAGCCCCAGCAGGAGGAACATGCTCGAATGCCTCCGCCACCGAACTGGAAGGGGCAGCCCCTGAAACTGCCAGAGTCTCACCACCAGGGGAGCAGGACGAACAACAGATGAGAAAGGACAAGGGGACGTGGACAAAACCAAAGTCAAGGCAACTAACGCTCCAAAGTTCAGGTCCCAATAACTAAAACAGGGCAGCCTCGGGGCATCCGGTAAGGCAACAACCTAGTGCGTTGCAGCAACCTAAACCTTGCATGCAACACTGAAGCTGCCTGCACCCAAATATCAATATCAGTGGACTGGGTGAATTGGAGCACCAGCAAGGAACACCACTCGCAGGACTCCGGGTCAAAAGTATCACTGACCCAACAAGCAAGATGACGGAAGCAAAAAGGTGAGTGTCACCCTGAGACAAGGGGGACAGAGCAACCTTCAAATGCACACGAAGCGAGATATGACCCAGAGAGCATACCCATTGAACCAACGAGCCCCAATGGGGTTTTCCATGGCCCTTAGGCTGACTGCTAAGGGAGGCCCAGGCAAGGTACTGCTAACTGGTTATCTCAAAACTACCAAACAAACAAAAGCTGAACCCCTACGACGTGTACAATCACTGGGACCTAGCGAAGGACCACCTAAATAATACAAGTGGTTCTGTAGCCACGCCAGACAAATAAAAACAAAAAAGAAAAACCCCGCAAAAGCACAACGTCTACAGGAGGAACAGAACCAGCCGCTATGCGTATTACATATAAGACAGCTGCACAGCACCTTGCACCCCTGCCAGTGACGATACTACCGCCCACCCAAGGTCAAACAATGGTAAGAAAGCCCCAACTGACCCCAAGAGCAGGCAATCACCGAGCGACAAAAGAACCCTACAGAGGCAGTTCCCGAACAGTTTGTGGAAGGTAACACCAAATCACAAGGGCAGTACTTGCAGGACACCTAGGGAAGATGACCCTAGGCCCATGCTGCCCCAGTAATTCTTGAATTACACCTGGCTCACATATCACCACACAGCAGCAAAACACCACAATGCACTGCACTGCTCAAAGATTGGAGCTCAAACGACCACCACCCCAACACATCAGCCTCAGAACTGGGGTTGGATAGCCGGCATGGGGAGTTTGGGGTTCCCCTCCCAGAGAGGAGGACAGCTGCGCAGACAGTAGCGAGGCAGCAATGGTGACGTCATGTTTGTTTGCTAGTTTTCGGTTTGGTGAGTTCTGCTTGCTAGTTTGGCTTTCAGTCGCAATTTTAACCAGCTGTAGATTGTTTTGGGATGCCTACCTTTCTGGGTGCCTAACCCGGATGATGGCAGACATAGAATGCTTCCAACCACATGGGGGTTTCTATAGGCTCCTCATGCCTCTCTGAGGGGGGCCAGGTTGTGGCTTGTGGTCCCTGGTGGGCTAGATCTACATCGAATTGACTGATGCCACGGTCTAATACATACAGATCAGCCCAGTAAGCTCTGGGGGAGCCAGAGGGGCTCTCCACAGAAAAAATAGTTTGATTTGTACCATCATGAAATAATTGAAAGTTTCAACCTGATACATGAATGCATTCTTCAGATATAAGAGACACCACAAATTTTGGAGATGAATGAAACAAACAAAAACTTTAAGGTATTCCTTCAGAGGAACCTAATACATTTTGTTACATTCATAACCTGTAAATCTAAGAATTTGAAAGTTCTTTATAAAATACACACCTTCTTTGCACATTAAGAAAGTTCCAGTAAGATTGGTTTCTAGCACAGCATTCCAGCCTTTGAGGCTAATGTTTGCTGCTGGAGATAGAAATTGACCTCCACCATTATTTACAAGATGGTCTATCTTGCCAAGGTCATGCAGCGTTGAGGAGATCAGATTTCTGTTGAATTAAAAAAACTGTAGCACATCATAGAAATATATGGTTTCAATAATAGGGAACAGAAAACCTGTTAGGCTTACCCAGGAAACATGTGTTGGTCAGCTGTTTCTGGGCTGTGTGTGATTTTTGTATTAGTTGAAATGTACTCCATGTACTTAACCCCTGGGCTGTGCTGCTGTTATTTGCTGTCAACCCCCCTGGAGCATGAACAAAATATGCTTCTAACATTCTTTAAATGCACTCCCTGATCACTGGGAGGGGGGGTGGGGGATGGCTATTGTATGTGATATACTTTGGCCCTGATGGAGTAAGGAAGTTTGGCACAACAAGCGCGCTGACAGAACTGGCCTGAAGGTGCTCTGCTCCAGCCAAGCCTACTAAATTATTTCAGTGTCTCTGATTGGTTGTTTCTCTTTTTTTTTGCTGTACTGTATTATTATTATTATTATTTAATAGTTTGTAATGTGATAAATTTATACAATCAAATGTGTGGACCATAGCTATACACGAAAATATGGTGTGCATATTAGTGAAACAGTATGATCATCAAACATTATTTTTAGAACAATAAAACAGTCTTTTGCTGTTATTTCTATACATAAACACTATTTATATATACAGTATAATTACAGCAGTACCTCGGTTAACGAATTTAATCCGTTCTGGCACAGAGCTCGTCATGTGAAACGCTCGTCTTGCGAAACAAATTTCTGTCGGACGTTGAAGGCATCTGAGAATTTGCGAGAACCAGCGAGAATGCTAGGAATCACCACATGGTTTTCTCGTTAACCGAGTGGAAGCTCGTCAATTGAGACAAATTTTCTGTGAACGGATCGCTCGTTACTTGAAATGCTCGTAGATGGAGCTGCTCATCACTCGCTATTTACTCTCTCATTCACTATTACAAATCACTAAGTGTTTCTGGCGAGTGTAATAATCTTATAACTGGTTATCAGAGTTCAGCCTAGTCATGCATATTTTGCACTAAATTCTAACAACACACATTGAATATCCAATATTTTCTTTGTATTTTGAATGTTTTTACCATGGATTTTCCAAGTGCAATGTTTTATCTAATTTACCAGAGGGCCACTAACCCTGGTGGCCTCAATGAGGACAGGAAGCCAATTGCTTGTTGAAGGTCCACTCCATTTGCTTTGATGATCTTTTCCAGGTATATTTTAAAACTCAACACAGTTTTGGCACTTACAGCTTCGGCGGGTAGGTGATTCCATGGGTCAACTCTGTGGGTGAAAAAAGCTTCTCCTGTTCTCAGTCCTACATTGTGGCTTGTTCAACTTGAGCTTGTTGAACATTTGCGTTACATCAGATGTAACACAAACCATTGCTCCTTGTTTGTGTTACATCTCACCTTTTGAAGAAAATATCCAGATCAATATCCTCTAACTTGTTCAGTATTTTAAAAGTTTCAATGAGATCTGCCCTGTCATGCCTGGTTTGCAGTGTTAGTCCTGTGGCCATCAACCGTTCCTGATATGAGAGATGACTTAGCTCTGGAATGACTTTTGTTGCCCGGTGTTGCACCTTGTACAGAGCAGCTATGTCCTTCTGAAAATGAGGTCTCCATGTTTGGATACAGTAATCCAGCACCAGAGATTTATATAGTTGAACAATTACCTTCTTTTCGTTACAGTCAAAGTACGCTTGATTATCCCAAGAGTAAAAAGAATTTGCCCATCTTCTGACCATTCACAAGAGTTCCAGTAGTACAGTCAAATTCATTCTCGACTGACAATCAAGAATTCCGGGTTCGAATCCCGGGCGGGATGGTTGGGCACATTTCATTTCACCTAATGCCTCTGTTCACCTAGCAGTAAGTAGGTACTCAGGAGATAATCAGCTTGTTGTGGAGTTGCATCCTGGGCGGGGTCAGTCGTTCAGCCTTGTGGGGGGAGGGGGGTAGGGGGGACCTCGCTAAAAGCCAAATGCGCATGAATAAGTGCCAAATGTGCATGAATATGCCCTGGCTTTCTGTCCCCAACACAATGAATTATAATTATTATTTGTGGAGTTTAAGTAGTTCTCTTGGTAAGGCTTCAATATCATTATCATTTCCTACTTTACCATAAACCTTTGTGTCATCAGCAAATTTGATGATGTGGTTTGTAATATTCTCATCTATGGCATTGATATTTTATTTATTATATATATATATATATATATATATATATATATATATATATATATATATATATATATATATATATATATATATATATATATATATATATATATATATATATATATATATGTGTGTATATATCACGAAAATAAACACGTGATTAAGAATGTGACAATGTCAGACCACGAAGGAAAATGAAACAGGAAATTTCCTTAAGTACTTTCGTATATTAATATACATCTTCAGAAGGTCGACCTTCTGAAGATGTATTTAATATACGAAAGTACTTAAGGAAATTTCCTGTTTCATTTTCCTTCGTGGTCTGACATTGATATTGAGAGAGAGTTAGGTTAGAGAGAGAGAGAGAGAGGTACGACATATATATATATATATATATATATATATATATATATATATATATATATATATATATATATATATATATATATATATATATATATATATATATATATATATATATATATATATATATATATATATATATATATATATATATATATATATATATATATATATATATATATATCTATATATATATATATATATATATATATATATATATATATATATATATATATATATATATATATATATATATATATATATATAAATAAAAAGGGTAGGTCCCAAAATGGATCCCTGTGGCACCCTATTTACCCCATTTCTCCATTCAGAATCGTTTCCATCTACCTTACCTTGAGGTTACCTTGAGGTGCTTCCGGGGCTTAGCGTCCCCGCGGCCCGGTCGTCGACCAGGCCTCCTGATTGCTGGACTGATCCACCAGGCTGTTGGACGCGGCTGCTCGCAGCCTGACGTATGAGTCACAGCCTGGTTGATCAGGTATCTAGCACGACCCTTTGTTTTCTTTCCTTCAACCATTGTTTTATTCATGCTAATATTTTATCATTTATTCTGTATATATACGATATACGCATTGGAAGAGTTAATACATAACCAAACAATAGTGGGCTCCCCAAATTATTACAGAAATAAAAACTCCAGATTGACACAGCAGCATGTTCACAGCATGGCAGCATGGACTAAGCCTATTTATCAAAGTAGGAATTATGGTAGTTTTCTTATAATTACAAGTTTATATTTGTTTTAAAACTTACTTAACTTGATCTTCTTCTCTGATATTGCATACTTTTGCTACAAGTCTCTTGCCATTTGGACAGAGTTCCTGAACTGCCTCTCTTAACCTCTCTTCTTTTCTTGATGCAATTACCACAGTACAACCTGGAAATAATGAACATGGCAAGGGTGAGAGGGCGTTAGTGTGAGCTTTGATCCAGTGTGCATGCTGCTAAGTGAGAGGATGGTGAGAGAAACATGTGCAGGTGGTTATTTGTGAGGTAGCTGAAAGGCAAGCCTAATCCGTTTCTAGCAGGCGAGTCTCCTATGGCCTAGATTGATCTACGTGTGTAATATCTTTTTCCTATTCTGCAGTTCTCCCAGAACCTCCCAGAGAACCTGTTCTGAAGGTCTCGAACTGGAGCCCAACCAGGGTATTAACGTTGACCTCTGGCCTATGGTAATGGCGTTCATGCTCTTATGCCTCACTCAGGTTGCAATGAAATCACAATTGTGTGATATATCAATGAAAATCATTATGAAGCAATGGAATGACTTGAACTCACATTCTGGTGGTTGACTTTTGTACCCTCATGGCCGAGTCAGTTAAGGCAGACGTATAGGCATACAGTATATGGTTTACGTAAAGCTACGACTAGTCTGGAGTTGTAATAGTGTGAGGCAGTGTTCTTAGGAAGATTGGCATTCATAAATAGCTTCCTGAATCACAGCGTAACTGCCACAACAATGATATGGAATGAAACGTTTCGTCAGTACAGTACAGTTCTTGAGTAACTGCTTTGTGAATGTGGCTTCAGGTCTTTACGGGAATCCAACCGGGCACATAACCTAGACTGCTGCAAATGAACAAAATGAACTTGCAAAGCGCCTGATATGAACTAATCTCATCAGGAGGGTCAGAAAGAAGTCACATGGAGAGAACAAACCCTACAGGACTCGGTGTCATACATCAACCACTGTAACTTATATATATATATATATATATATATATATATATATATATATATATATATATATATATATATATATATATATATATATATATATATATATATATATATATATATATATATTAGTATATTTTGGTAGCAGTCTTTCCTGTAGACATATATTATTAAATATGACCGAAAAAGTAAGATTAATAATTCTAACACGAATTTTCTTAATCTTTCATACATTTCTTTTCACTGTTGGTGGCAATTCAAAAATCAATTCTCCAAAATTCATTTTTATTTCTAGTCTGACGCGACACTTGAGCGCGTTTCGTAAAACTTATTACATTTTCAAAGACTTTAGTTTACACATACACAACTGATTGGAATTACACATCTCCGATTTGTTTATATCTACATTTGAGTGAGGTGGATGGGGTGAGGTGGTATATAATAGGGTATTAAATTCATCAACACAAGACAGAACACGAAACAATGGGTATTAAATGGAAGTGATTGTAGAAAGCCTATTGGTCCATATTTCTTGATGCTTCTATATTGGAGCGGAGTCTTGAGGTGGGTAGAATATAGTTGTGCATTAATTGGCTGTTGATTGCTGGTGTTGACTTCTTAATGTGTAGTGCCTCGCAAACGTCAAGCCGCCTGCTATCACTGTATCTATCGATGATTTCTGTGTTGTTTACTAGGATTTCTCTGGCGATGGTTTGGTTGTGGGAAAAGATTATATGTTCCTTAATGGAGCCCTGTTGCTTATGCATCGTTAAACGCCTAGAAAGAGATGTTGTTGTCTTGCCTATATACTGGGTTTTTTGGAGCTTACAGTCCCCAAGAGGGCATTTGAAGGCATAGACGACGTTGGTCTCTTTTAAAGCGTTCTGCTTTGTGTCTGGAGAGTTTCTCATGAGTAGGCTGGCCATTTTTCTGGTTTTATAGTAAATCGTCAGTTGTATCCTCCGATTTTTGTCTGTAGGGATAACGTTTCTATTAACAATATCTTTCAGGACCCTTTCCTCCGTTTTATGAGCTGTGGAAAAGAAGTTCCTGTAAAATAGTCTAATAGGGGGTATAGGTGTTGTGTTAGTTGTCTCTTCAGAGGTAGCATGGCGTTTCACTTTCCTTCTTATGATGTCTTCGACGAAGCCATTGGAGAAGCCGTTGTTGACTAGGACCTGCCTTACCCTACAGAGTTCTTCGTCGACTTGCTTCCATTCTGAGCTGTGGCTGAGAGCACGGTCGACATATGCGTTAACAACACTCCTCTTGTACCTGTCTGGGCAGTCGCTGTTGGCATTTAGGCACATTCCTATGTTCGTTTCCTTAGTGGATCCTTTCCTTATATGGATCTTTTATACGCTAAGAAAATTACCTATGTGCCTCCATCACAAAAATGGAATCAATACATGAAGAGGCCAAACCCCCAAGCATACCAGCGATACAAAGATGCGAGAAACAACTACACGGCAGTGAGGAGAGAGGCAGAAAGAAATTTTGAAAAAGGGATTGCAGACAAATGTAAAACAGAACCGGGTCTATTCTATAAATTCATAAACAACAAATTGCAGGTAAAGGATAATATTCAGAGGTTGAAAATGGGAAATAGATTCACGGAAAATGAAAAGGAAATGTGTGAAACATTAAACGAAAAGTTCCAAAGTGTGTTTGTACAAAATGAAATCTTCAGGGAACCAGATACAATAAGAATTCCAGAGAACAACATAGAGCACATAGAGGTGTCTAGAGACGAAGTGGAAAAAATACTCAAGGAGCTAAATAAGAACAAAGCAGTTGGTCCAGATGGAGTTTCACCATGGGTTCTGAGAGAATGTTCACCTGAGCTCAGCATTCCTCTTCAACTGATTTTTCAGGCATATCTGTATACAGGAGTTGTAGCTGATGTATGGAAAAAGGCTAACATAGTTCCAATCTACAAAAGTGGAAGCAGGGAAGACCCCCTTAATTATAGACCGGTATCATTGACAAGTGTAAGTCAAAATATTGGAAAAAATAATTAAAACTAAATGGGTAGAACACCTGGAGAGAAATGATATAATATCAGACAGACTGTATGGTTTTCGATCTGGAAGATCCTGTGTATCGAATGTACTCAGTTTCTATGATCGAGCAACAGAGATATTACAAGAAAGAGATGGTTGGGTTGACTGCATCTATCTGGACCTAAAAAAGGCTTTCGACAGAGTTCCACATAAGAGGTTGTTCTGGAAACTGGAAAATATTGGAGGAGTGACAGGTACGCTTCTAACATGGATGAAAAATTTTCTGACTGATAGAAAAATGAGGGCTGTGATCAGAGGCAATGTATCGGACTGGAGAAATGTCACAAGTGGAGTACCACAGGGTTCAGTTCTTGCACCAGTGATGTTTATTGTCTACATAAATGATCTACCAGTTGGTATACAGAATTATATGAACATGTTCGCTGATGATGCTAAGACAATAGGAAGGATAAGAAACTTAGATGATTGTCATGCCCTTCAAGAAGACCTGGACAAAATAAGTACATGGAGTGCCACTTGGCAAATGGAATTTAATGTTAATAAATGCCATGTTATGGAATGTGGAATAGGAGAACATAGACCCCACACAACCTATATATTATGTGAGAAATCTTTAAAGAATTCTGATAAAGAAAGAGATCTAGGGGTGGTTCTAGATAGAAAACTATCACCTGAGGACCACATAAAGAATATTGTGCGAGGAACCTATGCCACGCTTTCTAACTTCAGAATTGCTTTTAAATACATGGATGGCGATATACTAAAGAAATTGTTCACGACTTTTGTTAGGCTAAAGCTAGAATATGCAGCAGTTGTGTGGTGCCCATATCTTAAGAAGCACATCAACAAACTGGAAAAGGTGCAAAGACATGCTACTAAGTGGCTCCCAGAACTGAAGGGCAAGAGCTACGAGGAGAGGTTAGAGGCATTAAATATACCAAAACTAGAAGACAGAAGAAAAAGAGGTGATATGATCACTACATACAAAATAGTAACAGGAATTGATAAAATCGATAGGGAAGATTTCCTGAGACCTGGAACTTTAAGAACAAGAGGTCATAGATATAAACTAGCTAAACACAGATGCTGAAGAAATATAAGAAAATTCACTTTCGCAAACAGAGTGGTAGACGGTTGGAACAAGTTAGGGGAGAAGGTGGTGGAGGATAAGACCGTCAGTAGTTTCAAAGCGTTATATGACAAAGAGTGCTGGGAAGACGGGACACCACGAGCGTAGCTCTCATCCTGTAACTACACTTAGGTAATTACACTTAGGTAATTACAGTATGTTTATTCAGGCAAGCCAACCACATTGTAATTTATTACATAATATTTCAAAATTAATTATTAAAGTATGGATTTTTTTTAATGCAGACATAATTAGTATCAACATTAAACAGTTTTTAAATTAAGACGAAGTATTACCGAGGGAGAGTAGTTCCGCGGTGATAGCCTTGCCAATACCTGTAGCTCCTCCTGTCACCAGAGCCACCTTGCCCCTAAACAGCCCTGGAGCGAATATTGACATATCTGGGGAAAAGAGAACTTCTCATATAGTATTTATATCCCTTAAAATTTCTGCACTATGTTTCATGATAAATTTATGTATAAAAATATGCACTTTACCCTGCCAGTAGCTGGAAAGGTGACCATGTGATAAGATTCTCATTATTGTCCAGGGACATTCGAGTTATGGATGTGTATATAGTGTACATTAGTTTATATCAGTCCTTTATATTGTATTCTCATTGTCAGATATTCATATTATGTTATCATGACTTTCTCTTAGGGAAACACTTCAATATCAACTAACCCAACAAGAGAGACTTTAACAAACCACAGTCTATCTCCAGATTGGTATACTATACTGTACTTAATATGCTAACTTGAGGCCCTGTCCCCTAGGCCAACTCTATTAATTTGGAAACCTTAGTGCTATTCACAAATTTACTGCCTCTGCTAATATATCAGTGAAAATCACCACTTTGAAAATTACTAAATGAAACAAAATAAGGGATGGCTGCAGTTAATTTCAAATTTATTAAAGATCATTAAAGTGAACTTCTCTATAAAGAGAGAAAGGTACTTGCAGAAGTGAAGAATCAGTTACAGTATATGAAAACTGGACAACTATACTTTAAAACAGGGTTACAGTTACTTCAAAGTGGTCAGGTTCACTTCAAAGTGAGAGGATTAGTTTGGCAAGAGCAAGATTTATATAAGAATTACTAATGATTACTCCACACAATGATGGAGTAGAAACAGTTATGGCAAGTACCTAATCAAGGATAGTATACAGAAATGTACTATATATATATATATCACCAATAAGTGAGCCTGCCTCCTTCCCAGCCTGCAAGCCTGCCTGCAAGCCTGCCTGCCTCCTTCCCAGCCTGCAAGCCTGTCTGCCTGCCTGCCTCCTTCCCAGCCTGCAAGCCTGCCTGCCTCCTTCCCAGCCTGCAAGCCTGCCTGCCTGCCTGCCTCCTTCCCAGCCTGCAAGCCTGTCTGCCTGCCTGCCTCCTTCCCAGCCTGCCTGCCTGCCTGCCTCCTTCCCAGCCTGCAAGCCTGCCTGCCTCCTTCCCAGCCTGCAAGCCTGCCTGCCTGCCTGCCTCCTTCTCAGCCTGCAAGCCTGCCTGCCTCCTTCCCAGCCTGCCTGCCTGCCTGCCTCCTTCCCAGCCTGCAAGCCTGCCTGCCTGCCTCCTTCCCAGCCTGCCTGCCTGCCTACCTCCTTCCCAGCCTGCAAGCCTGCCTGCCTGCCTCCTTCCCAGCCTGCAAGTCTGCCTGCCTCCTTCCCAGCCTGCAAGCCTGCCTGCCTGCCTGCCTCCTTCCCAGCCTGCAAGCCTGCCTGCCTCCTTCCCAGCCTGCAAGCCTGCCTGCCTCCTTCCCAGCCTGCAAGCCTGCCTGCCTCCTTCCCAGCCTGCAAGCCTGCCTGCCTGCCTGCCTCCTTCCCAGCCTGCCTGCCTCCTTCCCAGCCTGCCAGCCTGCTTCCTTTCCAGCCTGCTTCCTTTCCAGCCAGCCTGCCTCCCTCCCTGCCATCATGCTAACGGGTAGTGTGTGTTAGGCTTATCTTCGGGAATGAGCCGGTCTCGCCCCCACCACCAACAAACCACCCGCCCCCCTACATCCCATCTCTCAAGGTCACGCGGTTCAACCGCGACTACCACTCACTCCCTGCTGCGCCTGCCTGCCTGCCTGTGCCTGCCAGCCTGCCTTTCCCTCCCTAATTCTCACTACTTCCATCCCTTCCTGCCTACCTCCTAGCACCTCTCCCTACCTCCCCCTCCCTCTTAGCATCTCTCCCTACCTCCTAACATCTCTCCCTACCTCCCCCTCCCTCCTAGCATCTCTCTCTCCCCCTCTCTCACTGATTCTCCCCCCCCCCCTCATTCATACTGCCTCCCACCTAAACTCCATCGTCCATCCACCCACCAGTCAGCCATCACTGATGCAATGCGTGCATTTGGAGCCAACATGGTGCACAGATGTTTCTTGATTGTGCAGATATGTAAAACAAAAGCACAGAATGAACATTCCAGCCTTATGGCAATTCAAAATAATAGGAACAATAGCCGTGAATCTGTGAAGTCACAGTATGCAAACTGGACCATCTCCCACCCACACAAGTGACGCTTGGCGGACCCCTACTACCCGAACTTTGCATCGGGTAGTACATGACTCCCCAACCCAATCGGGAAACTGGAAGTTTCGGATAACTAAAGTTCGGAAACCAAGTGGTGCTCTGTATATATATATATATATATATATATATATATATATATACAGATAATCTTATTAGTGTATACTGGCAGCAGGTTTTCTTTCAAACATGTTTCATTGAATATGACCGCATATTCTGTATTTATTATTTTCTGGTTTAGGGCTTCTATCCCTCTAACTATTTTCTTAGCATCAGGGCTTAATTGAAATAGGAGTTCTCCAAAACTCATTTTCGTACTTTTAAGGTGAAGAAAAGAAGTGATTTACTATACAGTGTATTACACTTGTTTGTATAATTTGCACGACGTTTCGAACCTCCATGGTTCATTCTCAAGTGAACAGATCTTACAATACTAGTTGATTTTATACCCGCATTAGGTCAGGTGATAATACAATGAAGGTGAAAACATGGGGGGATACATAAGGGATAAACATAGGGGCTGCAGAAGGCTTATTGGCCCATACGAGGCATCTCCTATCTAAACACAAAGATTAATTACACTGGATTATTACACAATTAATTACAATGGATTATTACACAATTTAATTACAATGGGTTATTAGTGCCATTACACTGGATTGAGTTTTCAGTTGCATATGCCCTGGGGACCATTCAGGCTTGTTCGCATTTGTGTTCCTCACGTATTGCCCCAAAGAATGAGGTGATTTGGTAAAGAAGCTATGCCCAAGATAACTATCCGAGTGCTTGAAACGGGGGGCGGCAATTGGTTCCAAATAGCCTCGTTTCGTGTTCTATCACCTCATTATGTCCGTAAACCTCTATCATGTCGTGATGGTCAAGTGGATTAAGGCGTCTTGTACATACCAGGTGTCTTGTTACTAACGCGCGATTAATAAATCCAAGTGTCCGATTTGCCTTATTACGAACATTTATGCATTGATCCTTTTGTTTTAAATTCTTACTAATCATAACTCCCAGATCCCTTTCGCAATCCGACTTCGCAATCACAACACCATCTAGCTCGTATCTTGTAACTCTATCATCATTACCTAACCTCAGAACTTTACATTTATCAGCATTAAACTGCATCTGCCAATCCTTTGACCATTTCAAAACCCTATCTAGATCAACTTGAAGTGATAGTGAGTCCTCCTCCGAATTAATTTCCCTACCGATTTTCGTATCATCGGCAAATTTGCAAATGTTGCTACTCAAACCTGAATCTAAATCATTTATATATTTATAACAACAGAGGTCCCAGGACAGAGCCTTGAGGCACTCCACTTACAACATTTTCCCACTCTGACTTGATTCCATTTATACTAACTCTCTGTTTCCTTTGGTATAGCCATGCCCTAATCCAGCTTAATATAGCACCCCCAATACCATGAGACTCTATCTTTTTAATCAGTCTTTCATGTGGCACTGTATCAAAAGCTTTGCCAAAGTCAAGGTATACAACATCGCAATCCCCACCACCATCAACTGCCTCAACAATGCTAGAACAAAAAGATAACAAATTTGTTAAACATGAACGGCCATTTATAAAACCATGTTGCGACTCAATTATTAATTTATGTTTTTCAAGATGAAGACGAATTTGCTTCTGGGAGTATGGGTTCGAGTCACTTCTTAAAAACTGGTATCACATTAGCAACTTTCCAAAACTCTGGCACTCTGCCTGACTCTATTGATTTATTAAATATGGTTGACAGTGGGTCACAAAGCTCCTCTTTGCATTCCCTAAGCACCCTGGCAAACACTTCATCCGGCCCCGGGGACTTGTTTGGTTTGAGTTTTACTATTTGTTTAAGAACATCCTCCCTGGTAACTGCTAAACTCGTCAACCTGTCCTCGTCCCCACCCACATAGACTTGTTCGGCTGAAGGCATATTGTTAAGTTCCTCTTTAGTAAATACAGATACAAAATATTTATTAAAAATACTACTCATCTCTTCATCACTATCTGTTATTTGACCTGTCTCAGTTTTTAATGGGGTGTGAGTTTTCAGTTATATATATATATATATATATATACAGATAATCTTATTACTGTATAGTAAATCAGAAATTAAAAGAACTTTTTAAATGCATAATATAACAACAAATGCTACATCATGCCAGGATACTGGATAATTAAATCTTAATTTACCATTGCATTCCTACCTCATCCCAGGATTTTGAAAACTATAAAAAGATTGGCAATGATAAGACTAGGTTATAAACTGTTAATAAGGCCGGTGTAATAAAAGGACTGGAAATAATAATGGCAGGGGTCAATAAAGGCTGGGTAGTAAAGACGTCTGAGCAATAAGGGAAAAGACGGGCACCATGAGAGGCGCCCGTCTTTTTGGGTAGTGTCGTTGAGTTCGTTGAGTCAAAGTTCTTATGGCAAGTGCAGCATGTGAAAGTGCTAAGCAAGTTTTCTTATGCAAAAGCTTTCTTTTGCAAACGGAGTGGTAGATGGTTGGAACATGTTAAGTGAGGTGGTGGTGGAGGCCAAAACCATCAGTGCAGTAGTTTCAAAGCGTTATATGACAAAGAGTACTGGGAAGATGGGGCACCACAAGCGTAGCTCTCATCCTGTAACTACACTAAGGTAATTACTAAATGCATAGCATTTCAGTTAGGTCCTTAATCTAACACATAAGGTATGATGAATAGGTACATTGCAGCAAAATTTAAGTTTAACATAATAACTACAATATAAGTTGATGGGGATGATTACGCTGGTGAAGATACATGTTTTAAGTACTGTACTAATATTGGGGGAGTGGGTCGCACAGGATACAGTGTGAGTTTGAACACAAGGTAGTAAACTACGAGGATGAAATTAGGTACTTTTTTCTTT